CTGTTCTCTTCAGATAACTGTCTCCGTGTCCCGGGTATTAGGTTAGAATTTCTATTTCACAGCTTGTTCTCTGTGATATTCCAATCAAAACATGCTCCCTTGAGCTTCTTTTCCACAGTCTGGATTGTCTTTTCGCCATCCTTCACGCCACTCTGCAGTTGTGGTACCTCGTGCTCCCGTCTTCCTTCTCCACCCCTGCTCCGCCACGCACCTGCCTCAGGTCCTTACTGCCCACCTGTGTTAGTTTCTGTTGCTGGGTAACACATTACCGCAAACTCTGGGGCTTAAAACAATGCGTGCCCAGAGGTTGGGCACAGCTTTTCTGGGTCTTCTGCACAAGGTCTCACAAGGAGTCAGTCGTGGTGTCAGCTGGGCTGTGCTATCTCACCTGGAGGCTCGGCTGGGGAAGAGTCCATTTCTGAATTCACTCAAGTTGTTGGCAGAATTTGTTTCCTTGTGGCTGCTGGATTGAAGGCTCTGGCTTCTTGCTGGCTCTCAGCTGGAGACCACCTTCTGCTCAGAGAGGCCATCCATAGTTCCCAGAGACTGCAGCGGTATCTAGAGGCCACCCACATTTTTTTTGGTCCCTTGAGCTTTCCCAGTATGGCCTCTTAATTCATCAGGCCACCAGGGAGAGTGAGTCCGCTAGCTTGCTGGAGGCTTATTTAAGATGATGTAGTCACAAGAGCGTCACGCCATCACCTTTGCCGTATTCTGTTGGTTAGAAACAAGCCACAGGTTCTGCTCATTCTGTAGGAGGGGGTCACACAGAGGCATGGCCACCAAGAGACGGGGATCGTGGGGCTGCCTTAGAGAGTGTCCAGCACACCCCCTAAATCAAACTTCTGCTTCACGGCCTTCCTCTGAGTGTTTTAAGCTCTCTGAAGTTTTGTCATGCTCTACTTCTCCTAACTGAATTTCCCCTTCTTTATAAATACCATCTACCCTCACTTCCCCCTCAAAACACATCTTCCCTTCTTATCCCTTCCCCGACACAACTTTTAAGAAATACAGATATATTTTGCTTGTTAGCTTCGACACCTTTCTAAAACCTCATGTAGAACACAGAAGTAATTTTTATTGAAATGAAAGTTCTTAAATGATTTTGGCTTCTGCAATTTTTTGAAGACCTAATTAAATCTATACAAACCCACTTCCCAGGCACGAGGGACCCAACCCAGCACTGTTTCCGTTATCTCTGCTGTGTGACACACCACCCCTCGCTTCGTGCCGTAAAATAACAACCCTCTCACAGTGCTCGTGGTTTCGAGCACCTCGGGGAGGGCTTGTCTCTGCTTCATGATGCCTCGGAGCTCAGTGAGGCGGACTCGGGCAGCCAGGGTGGTTCAGGTGGTTGGGGGCTAGGGTTTTCTGGGGGCTTCTTCATTCACATGCCCGGGCCCGGGCTGGAATGACTGGGGCGCTTGGCTCAGCGGGGACTGTTGACTGGAGGACTTACATATGGCCTGTCCATGTGGCTCGGACTGCTCACAGGGCGGTGGCCGGGTTCCAGGAGGGGGAGCGAGGGAGCATATGGAGAGTGAGCGTTCCAAAAGACCCAGCGAAGGCTGCCTGGCCTTTTCTGATGGTAGCCTCACAAGTCACGTGGCATTACTTCTGCCATACTCTAATTGGTTGAACAGTCTCCAGCTCACCCAGATTCAGGGGGAGGGGACACAGACCCCACTTCTCAATGAAAGGCATTTAGGAGAATTTGCAGCCATTAAAAAATAAAACTATCGCATATACAAACACAAACCTATTTAAAGGGCTGCATTATCCTGAACTCTGGGATTTGAAAGGGGCCACGGGGGATTATTATCTATATCGGTCTCCCACCCATTGCTCAACTGCTGTTTGCAGCTTTGCTGACCTCATATGGCTGGACCACTGCAGGTTTTCCTTACCGGTCCCCTGTCATCCACTCTTGCTGCTTTCCAGTCTGTTCTTCGTCCAGCGCCAGAATGAGTGCTCTCAGTCACAAATCTGCTCTTGTGCATCACCCCCCTCCCCTCCGTCCCCCACCTTTTCAAACTAGACCCTGTGACACTACAGTGGGCAGGCCATCACCTACCTTGTGCCGTGCCTACTAATGTTCTCCCTGATCTAGCTCTGGGCACCTTCTTTCAGTTCCCGGTACTATTTGTGCTTCTTCCTGCCCCAGGTTCTTGGCATTTGTGTGTCCCTCTGTGTGGGATGTTTTTCCCTACTGCTTTGCTTAGTTAACTTCTGCTTGTTCTTTGGATCTCTTCCCGTTAGTCACTTACTCCATGATGTGCTCTCTGACCTCCCTGATCAGGTCACTTCCTTTTATTGCATCTCGTTAAGGTCAGAGCATCTTTTTATACAGTGGTGAGAATGTTTAAGTCCACATCGCCCATAAGACTGAGTTCCATAAGCCATAGGCCATGTATGTTTTTCATTATTTAGTCTCTCTGCTTTACATAGAGACAGTATAGATCTTATTTTCTAAGTATGAGATATTTGTTATTTTAGGAGTGAAAACACTTTAATGTGACCTAAGAATCTGTTATTTCTTTACTAGCCTACATTCCTATTCTAGTTCAGGACGAGCTCCAGTTAACTCTGCCTACAGGCAACGTAAGCTGTTCTTAAAGGGAAGCTGTTCCTGTCTCGGTACTATTTGGACAAAGGGCTAGCCTTTCTATCTTTTATCAGTAATTTCAGTCCGTTGTTAAGTCTTGGAAGTAAGTTTCTCTGAAGTTATTCATGTCTGGATTTGGTGTCATTTGCTAATGCAGTGAACATGCTTTCCTCCCTGGCTTCCTGTACCACCCATGTACAGAACAAGGCAAGACTGCATGAGCAGAGTGAAGCCGAGTCCATCCAGAAGATAGGCAACATGAATAGAAGGGCTGAGTGATGAAAGCGGTATCAGCCTTCCATGTAGAATTGCACAACTGAAATTTTAATAACTGTAAAATTGCAAAACTCCCATATGAAACTGACTGCATGTGGTAACGCAGAAATACAATTTTTATTGCAAACCAAGGCATTTCCCAAGGAGCACAGATATTTGAATGAAACGCTATGTTAGACTTTGCTGTCCTGTAGCTGTAAGAGCATCTCACCACTTATTTCTGTGTAAGGGGTTTTGGCTACCAGGGGCCCGAGGGAGCATTGGATCCTGCAGGTAAGGGCTTTAGTGTCTCGTGATGATGAGATGAAGGAGCTGATAGGAGGCTTTGAGGACTGCCTGCTCAGGACAAGGGGCTAGTTCTTGCTTATAGGCCGAACGAACAAGTCCACCCACCCGCCTTTATAGTAGCATTGATTTATATCCTGCTTTGTTCTAAAAACGACTGAAGGCCTGTTTCCTGGGTCTCTGTAAATCCCAAGAATGGGAAATTAAAAAAAAAAAAAGAAAACAAAGAATCAAAAAGGAAAAATTTTTGTGATAACTAATTCCAAGTCTTATCAAAGGAAACAGAAAATAATATTTCAGAAAACCGTCACTGCTTAGCTTTTGCGACTACAGAGTATATTGCATATTCTAAACACCCAAATATTTTAAGATTTCAGGTTCAGTTTGATTTTTTTGCTGTTGGCAGAATCCAGTGGGGGTAGCGTGAGGGGCAGGCCCTGGTGTGAGAGAAGCAGCAGAAACAGAAGATGGCGCCCAGGGAGTTGAGGAAACTTTGTTGCTGAAGCCGCTTCTGTCCTCAATCAGTTCTGTGGCTTCTGGCAAATGGTGTCCCCTTTCTGGGCCACAGTGTCCTCTTTTGTTAAACAAATCAACAGGAACAACAGGGTAAAAAAAAACAGGGCTTAGAGCCTATAACAACAGCTCATTGTGTAGTGCTGCATTTGTTGAATGCTTTTCTGCTTGAAGAGAGCCCTTCCTTCCACCTTCCTGATTTCATTTGTTCCTTGCAGCAGCCTGGTAGGATGTTTTACGTTCTTAGTGCCCCCACCTCATACAGCGGGGATCCAGGAGGCAGATCCAGGCGGCTGGGGGGTGCAAGCACACCCATATTTGCTGGCTGCAATGCTTGGCTTATTTGTTCCTATCAGACAGCTCTAAAGTTTTTCACTAACAATGTAGAAAGCTCTAGAAGTACCTTTTCTTTCTTTTTCATGTTTAATTTAAAATATGACTTAACAGCATTTAGCCATCCGTGGGGCCATCCACATCACAGAACCATTGAAAGAGGGTCAAAAGACTGTCATGGAGAATGCCATTTCTCTTCCCAAGTGTGACATTTTCCCCTTTCTGATCGGTTGTTTCCTTGCCCCCATCCCATGGAGCTCCCCGCTCTGTGCCCTGAGTCCTTGCCTCTCTGCCCGCAGTCCCACCCATAGGTGCTGCCAGTGCCTATAGGGACACCAGGCTTTATGAGACGTGTCTCTGGTCCTAGGTCAGGTGTGAACAGTGTTTCTTTCAGAAATAGCCTCATCTGAAAGAAATCCCTGGTGCTTGTTGACATGGGGTGAATAACAGCATCCAGAATCCTTTTAAATCCGCAAGATAGATGTCTCCCTGCTGCCGTCTTTCCAGACATAGGCAACCTCACTTATTCTGCTTGAGATGCTTTAGGGTCCAAAAAAAAAAGATTTGCGTTTGGATACATGGCCCTTTCATTTGGCAGTTTGGGTTTCTGGGTGAGCTTGATTGCGGGGTCACTGGCCATGGCAGGCAGCCACCTTCATCTTTGACTTTCTAGATTGTGAGATTCACAGTGTTTGTACCCATAGCTGGGACAGAAAAAGGACTCAAAATACACAAGTATGTCCCACGTCTTTGCTTAAACATCGCTTCTCAGAGACCAGTAGTCACCAATCCTGCCCTGTGCAGCAGCTGCAGTGTGTGAACATTTCTGATTGTGTAATTCATTGTTTGCGTGTGTCTAGTGTGGTGTCTGGGACGGGTGGAAGAGGTCTGAGCGGTGCCTGGCTGGCCCACCCCTTCTCTCCGGGACTTACCACCTCGGGCATCTGAGGACTGACTGTGCCTGACTGCTCGATGCTTTGTTCCACAGGAACCTCGGATCTGCCGGTAACCGTGACCCCAAACCCTGCGTCACTTCCTCCTGGGACATTGTTACCAATTTCACCAACATGGCCTTTCTCAGAAGTCCAGTCTTCCTCGGCAGTGAACAGAATCAAGAATGTGCTGGGACCGCCCCCCGACAACACCAGCGTGCCGCAGTTCACACGAACACCTCCTCCCAAGATACACCGCAGAGCTAGGGCTCATGGGGACTTCTCTTCTTCCCTTTACCAAGGAAGCGGATATAGCTCCTCCTTCGAGCCTTACAAGGATTCCACTGAGTCGCTGGTCCAACCAGGACCTCAAGGGGGAAAAGAGACAGCCAGCGTGTCAGGTTTGCCTCACACTAGCATGCTCCCCCCATTGTCCACTGCCCCATCAGTGCCGTCCTTGAGCCCTGCCCTCCCATCTCAGCCAGTGTGGGTAGGGACTCCTTCCATCTCAGAACGACATTCTCTGAGGTCAGACATCCTTCCACTTCTCCCTCCATCTCCATCCTCTTCATTGGCTCCTGACTCACCTCATTCCATCATCTTTTCTAAGCCAGCCGAGCGACCCATCACAGTGCCTTTACTCCCCCAAACAGCTCCAACAGACTCCTCTTCAAGTCAGAGTGTAGCTAATCCCCTAAACCCATTTGCTGATGAAACGAACCACACTCCATCCAGAAATGCTCAGGATTTAATAGGCATCCCTCATCTAGGTTTTTCTGGATCTTCAACAAAGCAGTATTCGGAGCTGTCCTCCACAGAGAGTCCTCGCTCAGCAAGCTCCCCCACACCAGAGTTTTTGAGCTCCGGGGCAGAACTGGCCCATCTGTCTCTCCATCCCCTAGCACCTGGAAGTCTTCAGCTGCCAGGTGGAACTCCCTCATGGTCAAGGTTGGAAGTGGCTTCAAGCCCTGCATCCATCCAGCCAATCGAAGCTGAGGTGGATGAAAGAGTACACAGTGGGGTGGCTTTGCCAGCTTGGAAGAGCGTGGCCACAGCAGCGACCCGTGAGGCTGTGCCTTCTTTGTTTTTCCAGACTGCTGCTGAGTCAGTGGCAATGGAAACAACCAGCAGAGAGCCAGCCCCCGCCACCGCAAAGGACTCTGCTAACCCACTGCATTTGTCAGCAGCCCCAGAGAATTCTGAAGGGCCTGCCCTTTCAGCAGAACACACATCTTTCTCTTGGGTGCCTTCTCCTGTGCCTCCCACTACAGCTGGCCAAGGACAAGCCAACTTTTCTGGGGCGGTTCCTGCATCTCTATCGCAGGGCGCAGCGGCAGATGTGCCCTCCCCACCTACTTTCCTGCAGCCGGCACAGAATCATGCCTTCCCATCCATCGAGCCCAGAAAGCCTACTCCTCAGGACGAGGGCCATGATGGATCCGCTCCTGTTGCAGCTTCGGATTTCCTCCTCTCAAGCAAATTTCCAAATCTCCTCGCCACAACTCGGACATTTCCCCGGCAGAAAGAGAATAGCGTGACAGCTGTTTCAAAGGAAAACGAAAAGGCAAATTTCACAGTTGCTCTCCAGACCCTCCCAAGTAAAGAGATTCGGAGTCTTCACACTATAAATGGATTTGCCTCTGGTTTTAGCACTGATCGTATTTCATCCACTGTCGTTGCAACACCAAGAACAACCGTTCCTTCAGAGTTACCTCCACGTTCCATCCCCTCCGGACGAGCTACCCAGACTGTTTCACCATCTCCTAGCTCTCCCAACAGCAGTCCAGAGACTTACGCAGCTGCGACAGACCATTCCGAGCTGCCAGTTCCAGCTTCCAAACAGGTGACAGCATTTCCCTCCTCCACTGAGGTCTATGATTTCTCAACAATGGGAAACGGGAAAAAGCCAGCAGTCACAGATGTTTTCTGGAGTTCTCTTTCAGCGGAAACTGGATTCCTTTCCACAGAACCAACCGTATCTGGCACGCAGCAGCCAACAAATTACGATGTAAATGGGCACACAATTAACTCCACAAGTTGGAAAACTCATTCAGCCTCCTCTACTGCTCCCGATGATTTAGCTTCAGCTGTCAGTACAATAGAATCTCAGCATTCCAAAGACACTGCTGGGCATTCAGCAACGGCAGACAGCTTTAGCATTCAGGATCCAGTCCTTGACACAAGCACCAGCCAGCCAGTCCAACAGCCAGCCATTACCATGGTTGGAAACCATACAGGCATCTTGTCCATGAGTAATAACAACCACTCCGGGGTCTTCCAAGCAGCTGAGGTTGAAGATCACCCATCCACCAGCCAACACGTCAAGTCTCCTCCCCATCTGCAGCAGCCTGCCCACCCAACACGTTCGCTCTGGCTAACCTCTCCGAGTCTGCCTTCCACAGCTGGTTTGCGGGCAGTGTTTTCAGATGGAATGGATACAAGTTTCCAAGTTTCCAGCAGCATCTATCCATCTCCCGGGATAAATGCTTCCACACCATTCCAGAGTGTCCCGAGATATCACTCTACTGCTGAATCTCCTCTGTCAACCAGTGCCTTATTCAGGACCCCATCCAAAGTGCTTCTGCCTTCTCAGCACCCCGAGAAATGGACAGGGGCAGCCACTAATGCAGGTAGTTTGTTTCCTGGTACCCAGAAAACAGGTATGACTGCTTCTGTGGCCAAAGCATCTTCAAGCTCAACACAGATACCCAGCTTTGCTCATGAGCAGACACACCTAGTCTCACTGATGAATGGATTAGCAGCCCCAAGCAGTCATGTCCTTGATCCTCTGCTGACTTGATTTTTTTTTTAAGTATTCTCAATTTAAGTGTCCTTATTACCAGCCATAGCTTTGCTATAACTGTCATCTTCATTATGCTTAATTGACTTAATGAGCCTAAGCTGCTTTGCTTAAATTTCAGAGCACAGAGGCTTTTCACCGCAGCAAACCCATAACTTATATCCACTCATCACCACAAGTGATGTGTGTACTCTGGGCCAATGACAACCTTTGCTTTCTCTCTTTACAGCGGACTCTGCAGTGTCGTCTGAGGCGGAACCAACAACAGCAGCAGCTTCCACGTTGTTTCTGAGGAAATCAAGTCCAGCACTGTCTGCAGCCCTGGTTGCCAAGGACACTGGCAGCAACCCTTCAGCTGGGGTCTCAGGATTGGTCAAGAGCAGTCTGACCACTGCTCTAGCTAAAAATGTCACAAACAACACAGCGTCTGGCCCAAAGGCGACCCCAGGCGCGGTCCATCCAGCCTTCTCATTCACTCCAACCTATATGTTTGCAAGGTCCGCACACACTATGAACACTCACACGGCCATGCAAGGGAACCCGGGCACCGCCTCTGGCCTGTTGTCCACAACACACCTCCCCAGGAAACCACAAGCCATGCACACGAACTTCCCGAACCCCACCAACTCAGACCTGCCCCGCGCGTCCACCACACGCTCCCTGACAATCACGGCAGCCTTGACGTCCATTACTGCACCGGTAAGGGCGACCCGGCTGCCGCCTCTGCTGGCAGAAAACCCAAATGCTGCTCTTCCCGCTGTGTCGACAGCTATGGTCACCACTGGCAAGGTAGTGTCCAACCTGGAGTGCCAGATGTCCAGTAAACTCTTGGTAAAGATAGGTAAGACTCCACTACCTTGATTTTACTTGAAAGCAGCAAGTACATACATGATGGCTTCAGAGATGCAACAGAATTATTAGATATCTTTGAGTTTGGGGATTTTCAACCAGGGGCACTTTTATTCCCCCTTGCCCAGGGGACATTTGACCACATCTGGAGACGTTTTGGGATATGTACAATTTAAAGGGTGGGGAGGGTGCTGCTGGCAACTAGTGAGACAGAGATTAGGGCTCTGCCAAGCATCCTGCATGGCACAGGACGGTTGACAACAAACAACAGCCTGGCCCAAAAGTATCAGTAGTGCCAGGGTTGAGAACCCTCAGGCTTTATCAAGTGACAGAAGTGAGGACAAGCATTACATGATACGATTCTAGTCTTGGGATCACTTCTGATATCAGAGGTCCCTTGGAAATCCGGTAAGCCGGGGTCTGAAAAAGCACGTGTGCACTGAGGTTTGCCCATAGAGCAGATGGGTCAGTGACGTTTCACATGAATGAATGCTGTGTTAGTAAAACATACCATCTTGGGAAGTACTGCAGAATTCAGAAAGGCTTGTCATCATGTATGTTCTCAATCAGCAGATACGAAAAGTACAGCCAGGGTACACTTAGTGGGAACCCAGGATTTCTTTTAATGTTAAAAAGGAGACCCTGCAAATGCTGGGAGGCAGATGCTATCTCCTTGGCCCCCACCTGCCAGCTGCAGCACAGCAGCCCGAGAAGGCACGGGGGCCTTTCGACAGTGTGGTAGCGTTTGCTCTGAAAAGCGTTAGACACAGTATTTGAAAGTGCATGCCAATGTTGAATGCTCGCATCCTGCCTTCCTCTTGGCCACACAAAGAATTTTATGAAATCATCTCTCTAGACATATCCTGTTCTAAAAGGGGAAATTGTGAAACTAGGTCTAGCAGAAAGTACAGTATTTCTTTCTCTTTCTCAAGAAATGACACCATCTGGTTTTCCACTTTCCCTTCCCCTGGCCCTCCAGATCTGCGCCTCCTGCTCTGAGTCTGAGTGGCAGCCGCCACCACCTAGATGCAGAAGTCCGGAACATTCTCCCCTCTCATTTTCACTGACCCCCATCACCCCCGCCACACCCAGCCAACCACAAGTTACTTTTAGGTCTACCTCCAGAATGCCCCTTCTTTCCACCACAGCTGCCCCTTCCCTAGTTCACATCGGCATGATCGTGCACTTCAATTTCTGCAACAAAAGCCAACTTATCTGTCTACGTTCAGACTCCCCACCCCACAACAGACACACAGCCTGTTCTCCAGTCTGCAGTTAAAGGACCCTTCTAAAATGCATGCCTTTATCTAAAACCCTTCATTTCCCCCTACCCTCAGGGTCAAGCTTCAACAGTGAAATGTTTCACCTTTCTCCCCTGTGCCTTTGCATTTGGTCTTCCCTCTTCTGGGGTTATGGGGACAATTCATCCCACTCTTGGCCTGGCTCACTCCCATTATCCCTCAGAACTCAGCAGAAGCATCAGTTCTTCCGGGAATCCTTCCTTGATCCCCACACCCCTGTCCAGGTCGTAGCTGGCTGCTCTCCCTAGGGCCTCCAGCGGCACCCCGGGCGTCCCTTCAAATAGCACCTGTCACATTCAGTCACAACTGCTTGTTTTCACCCTGGTCTCCATCTCTGTCTCTTGCATTTGTGGGGTGGGAACTGCCTTCCTGATTCAGGGTCCCTTTTGTCTGTTCCTCCTAACTCAGGGCCCGCATCTGAGTCAGGTCTCAGGAACACTGCTGAGGGAATTCCCTAGCATGCAGACCAATCAGGGCGGGTCCAGCTGAGCCCCACCTTTCAAAGTCAGAGGCAGCATTGGTCAGAAGTGAAGTGCCACCAGCGTGAGAGCTATCTCTCCACACAGATGGCTAGGACCTTCTTTCCTTGGGTCTTGAGCTGGGCCAACAGAGCTCCTATCCCACCGTTGCCCCTGCCACCCCCCCCCCCCACCCGCCCACTCCATTGGACCTGCACTCAGCTGGCTTCACTCAGAGCCACTGAGAGGTGGCGGCTTGGGGGGAGGAGAGGAGGGCTCTTTCATAGGACGTCTGCTGCCTTGCCCTGACTACCGCACTTCGGTTTTGTCCCAGTTCTCTTTCTGATGCAAAGGAGAGGGCAGACCGGTGAAATCTTGAAGCTCAGTGTGGCCAAGGGGCTCACGCAGGCACTGCGGAAGGCTTTCCAACAGAACGACGTCTCAGCTCACGTAAGCCCCTTGCTTCTGCAATCAGACTGATCCCTCTACATCTTCCTCTTGGGTCCAGAGTGTGTTCAGGTTGTTTTCCTCCTCCCTGGGTACCATAACTATGCTAGCTGGAAGTAACATCTTTTTCCATTTTGACCAATAGTGAATGTGGGGTGGTTGGAGAAAGATTTTGAGATGGAAAATGGAGGCTAATTGTCCCATGTCCAGAGTTTTTTTTTTAAAAGCCTTGATATACTGTTTTTAAATTGTCCTATCATCTCATTGTTTGGGGAAAATATTTAATATCATTAGTGTAATTCTCTAGATACCATCCACTGCTTCTTCCTTTATCTCCCTCACCATTGTAAATAGTGAACAATTTATTTCTGGACATTTAAAAATTACTCTGACTTGTAAATTGAGTGCAGCTCAATTGTAACTTGTAAATTGCCAGCAGCAGACAGGGAAGGGAACACTTTTTTCCTCCACTTCAATGCCAAGTGCTATTCAACAACTGCTAGATGATTTCGAAGGCACATCCCAGCGATGGAAGCCTTGCTTTACGCGCTTTTGGTTTGATTCCACGCTTGAAAGCAGTAACTGCGATTTGGCAGCCGGTGGGTGCCCTTTGCACCTCTGGCCTCTTCCCTCGATGCTTTGTTCTACAGCTGCGTTCAGCTGGTGCCCCCCCCCACCCCCCCACCACAGCAAGGACTAGGAATAAGTTTGGGTACATAATTTGTTGGTCATTGCCAACCTCTTTTATAGAATTCTAAACAAACAAAAAAGAAAGAAATGCGTTCTGTGTGAGGCATCTGTACCTCCCTGAATGCGCCCGATCTCGTCTGAAAGTAGAAAATGTGAATGTTTCCATTGGCTGCCTGGCACAGGTTTCATTAAACTTCTGTCGTTTGGCAGTGACCTTCAAGTTTTTGCCTTTCCTGCATATCATCACAGACAACTATGACAATTAGTGTGTGTTAGTTCTTTTCTTTTTTTATTGTATTTTTCCATTACCGTTTAGTCCCCTTGTGCCTCGTTCCCCCTCCCCCACAATCACCACTCTGTTGTTGGTGTCCATGAGTCCTTTTTCCTTTTGGCTTGACCCCTCAACCCCCTAATCCCCCTACTAGTTTTTTAATTGGCTCATTTTAAAAAATTAAATACATTTCTTTTGAAAGGCTGTTTGATATTACCACCATAAATGGAAATCAGGATCATTGGCCCCAAAGAAAATGTAACCACGAAAACAAGAGTAATGGGAACGGCTTGTTAAATTGAAGCTAAGCAGCATTGGCAGAGATACGACTTGTAAGGCTTGGAGAGGTCCTGAAAGTCAGTAATCCCCAACCAGAGACTCGGTCCTCGAGGTCGTTAGAAGGGCTAGTGTCCCAGGTTCAATTCCCAGCCAGGGTACATTCCTGGGTTGCAGGCCAGAACCCCCAGCAACCGCACATTGATGTTTCTCTCTCTCTCTCTCTCTATCTCCCTCCCTTCCCTCTCTAAAAATAAATAAATAAAATCTTAAAAAAAAAAAAAAAAGAAGGGCTCGAACAGGGGTCACGGGCTCTCTGGTGTTACTCAGTGCTGTGTCCGTGCTCCACCCGGAAGTATCTCGTTCCACCGAGAGCCACCTCTAAAAATTGTTTTGTTTTTCAATGACAGTTTACGTTCAGTATTATTTTGTATTAGTTCCAGGTATACAGCATACTGCTTAGACAATCATATATCTTACAGAGGGATCCCTGGATATTTCAAGTACCCACTTGGCATAGTCATTACAATATCATTGACTATAGTCCCCGTGCTGTAGCTTACATCCCCGTGACTGCTTTGCAATTGCCAGTCTCTACTGCTTAATCCCTTCACCTCTTCCACCCAGCACCCCAACCCCCTCCTCTCTGGCACACCAGTCACCTGAGCCATCTTGCGCGGCACCTTGGGAAACAAAGTGGGAAGAAACCAAAGGCCCACCCAGCCTGTCGCAAAACCAGTTGTCTTGGTTTCCTTCGCAAATACACATGACACTACCAATGGAGATGCAAGAGTAAGGGGGCAGTGGAGGGAAGTGGGTGTTAAAAACACCCTGACCTGTTAATATCAAACAAGAGCAAAAACAAATAAAAATAAAGTCCAAAGCCTTCAGGTCTTCCATCCAGGTCAAAAAGCACTCAGATCAGCAGTATCCCCCAGGACTCAGCTCTAAGAGAAACTCTTCGTGGCCCACCGCGCCTTGGTCTGAACCAACTTACTAATCAAGAATGGAGTTAAGTCTGAATAACTCTTCTCTCAGCCTCTAGCCCAAGGAATTCACCTCAGATACTATTTGACCCCTGTCCTGAAGGTGCCCCCACTTAATCTCTCATTTCTGCCTTTTAATTTTTAAATGACGAGAAGTACAATAAAGCTATTTTTTTTAGCATCCCATTCCCTGGAAATCTCTTTTGCCTTCTGTCTCCTGTCTACCATTCTGGGTGACCATTGGTGCTCACAGGATTATACAAGACACTTAAGGAATAAACCCAAAACCAAAGATTTAATTCTATCAACATGTAGGTTCAATATAATGATATTTTGTTGTATTCTGATATTTTAAGACTTGCCAGTCTATGTCTTTTTCACAGCATTGTTAGAATAGTTGTTGAATGAGAACATCCTATTCCCCAGCCGTGCTAAGTAACTTAAAATCCTGTGGAAACAAATACTGAGTTCTGGGCATCCATTTGTTTTGTAGGTGGACATTCTGGAACATTCTCATAACGTCACAGTTGGTTATTATGCTACCAAAGGGAGGCTGGTGTACCTGCCTTCTGCAGTGATCGAAATGCTGGGTGTTTACGGGGTCAGCAATGTCACCGCGGATCTGAAGCAGCACACCCCGAACTTGCAGTCTGTGGCAGTACTCGCCTCCCCGTGGGACCCCCAGCCTGCAGGCTACTTCCAGCTGAAAACAGGCAAGTAACTCACAAGGGAAGGTTTCCTGTCCTTTCTGGGACTGGGGACAGTACCAAGAAGACACCTGTTTAAAAACTCCATCACTGACTGCTCTGTCATGTCTTAAAGTCCCTGTGTTCCTTCCTCAAATGGCCCTGCTAAACACACGTCCAAGTGCCCTGCACATCACTAAATCTTTCCTGGACTTATTAGAGATATTTCTGCCCTGACTGATGTGGTTCAGTGGATTGAGTGCTGGCCTGTGAACCAAAGGGTCGCCAGTTTGATTCCCAGTCAGGGCACATGCCTGGGTTGCAGGCCAGGTCCCCAGTAGGAGGTACACAAGAGGCAACCACACATTGATGTTTCTCTCCCTCTCTTTCTCCCTCCCTTCTCCTCTCTTAAAATAAATAAATAAATATATGACAATATATTAAAAAAAGGAATATTTCTTCACAAGAGCCTTTCTTCCTAATGTATTTAATTAGTACTTCCACGTACCAAGTGCTATATTTTTTGTTTTTTTCCATATTATGGATGCCAGTACAGTTGAATATCCATAAAACCTGTGCTTTGGAGCAATGCATTCCATATGCCACTGAATCAGAATCTTTGAGCTCGGGCTTTGGAATCTTTCTCTCAGGCTCCCTGCTGACTCCAGTCTTGTGGTTTGTAAACCCCAAGATTGGAGAAACCATTAATGTGGAAAGACACGGTGAACTTAGTAATGCAGGTCAACTGATTACTTTTTCCCTCCAAAGAATCAGAAGGCATGACCTCTCTTTGATTATTTTTTAGCAGTCTTGGAGCAGATGTCTACATATTCCCATCAAGTGAAATCACAAAATCCTTTGCATTGGAGGGAATCTCAGGCCCAATCCCACTTTAAATTCTTCTAGGTTATATAAGTCATTTCAAGAGCCACTTACAAAGCTGCAGCCAGTCCGTGTTGCCCTTTACTTACCTAATTGCTCGGATGTAAAAAGTATGGTTTTGTCTTATGATGGCTGTTAAGTCCCAGGAGCAAAGACACCGCAATGGTGAGTGCTGACGTGCTGCTCTCACTCTAGTGCTCCAGTTTGTGAGCCAGTCCGACAACATCCAGTCCTGCAAGTTTGCTCAGACGATGGAGCAGAGACTACAGAAGGCCTTCCAGGATGCCGAGAAGAAGGTCCTGAGTACCAAAAGCAACCTGACAGTTCAGGTAAGGACGAGGGCACTTGAGCTGTGTTGTTGACAGAGGCCAATCATAATACACATGTTGTCAAGGGGTGACTTGGTCCCCGATCTCCAAGCTGCCTGGGGTGAACGTTGCTTGGGACTTTGAGCGTGTGCTGCAGGCAGGAGACAGCGCCCCTCGGTCAGGCCACTGAGTGGAGTAGGTCTGGCGCTGGTGAGGATGTCTGGGGTGTGGAAGCTGTGTCGCTGTCTCCCTGCTGTGGTTTGGGATTTTATATTTATTTTTCCACGTGAAGGTTCCTCAGGCCTTTCCAATACATTTATTATTTTTAAAAATGGTACTAGAATATACTACATAAAATATATCAAATGTCTCATATAAAATGAATCATTTCTAAATACGCACTAAGATTTGCCTATTCTGTGATTTTCATTGAGTTATTTTCCAAATGTCCACATGAAGTCTCTTACTTCACACACACATACACACACACTATGTTTTTAGGGCTCCCTGTGTGCCAGGACGGTGCTAAGTGTTTTACGAATATTTTGCTACATACTACCTAAGACATTCCTTCTGATGTATTATTAGCATCATTTCACAGAAGAGGGAACTGATGGAGGGGTAAGAAACTTCCAGAAGGTCACACAGTTGGTGAAAAGTAGAATAAAGACATGAGCAAAGCCCACTCTTATCCACCATGCTACACCAGCATCAACGCAAGGTGGAAATGGGATTCATGGTGAAACTTTTGGCAAATGCATGAATTATTTCCCAGGAAAATCCCACTCCTAGTACACCATATTTCAGTTTCCTAGATTTACAGTAAGCATGCCATCAAAAGCCTTTCTCAGACCCATTTTTTTTTTGCAATTGTATAGATACCATCCCACTAAAGACAGATGCTTCTTAATGACATTTATCCAGCCCCCAAATTGCTCTAATTAACTGTACTAGCCAATATCTCCATTTTTACTGAACTAAAAGGCACCTCCAAGGTTTGCCTTTGCGGTGAAACCCAGTGGTTTTGAAACTGACCCTTAGCATAGGTGAATTATCAGCAACGCCAATATGATATAGAAAGCATGCAATTTAATTTGAATGAGAAGCTTTCTTTTCTAAAAAGATCCATCCAAAGTGGAAGTATCTCATTATGATTTGGTTCATATTAGACTAAAATCTAAAAACTCGTCACCAGCTTAACATTTATGTAAGGAGTATGACTCAGATCTTTTGTGGGAGATCTTTTGTTTTCTGATTGTATTTGGATTCTCACAGGTACTTGAGTCTGGTCGGAACTAGAATCTACTTGGATGGTATTCAGAACACACTCTGATTGTATTCAGGCAGCGCAGGCTTACTGAGCACCTGCTATTCATCAGGCCCTGAGAGGGACACCAAGATAAAAAAAAGCTGCCCTTGGCCTTAGCAAGTAAGAAAACTTCCTTGGAAAAGACCACAATAGGCAATTTGAAAATTGTATCTAAATAGATTTTAGAGACTCTTGAATATATCAACAGCTCTTGAAATGAATGGATAACTGGGTGAATTGTTTTATTAATCATTTCTCTTTTTGCTTTGGCCAACAGGAAGCCCAGAGACAAAGTTGTTGCCTCGGTTTAGTGCCCTCTAAGCACCTCTATCGTCATGCACAGATAACTGTGTGCTAGCCATTCCCCGGGGGCTGTCTTTAATGTGTTTTTCCAGGATCTGGTTTTGTAATTATAACTTTACATTTTATTGTATTAAATATAATTTGTGGAGAACCTTGGATCCTCTGTGGAGTAGGACTACATCAATATTTAATTAATTTGTTGAGAGAATCATTAAAAACGTGACTTACAACGTTTTTTACTTTATAGCACTGATGCTAGAGGCTAGATTACAGTAGACTCAGTTAGGATTTTTTGGTGCAAATGACAGCATGCAAGTTCATAGGCTTAAAAGCAAAAAGAAGTGATTAGTTCATGTAACTGACAAGTTCAAAGTTTATTTACTTCAGGCACAGTTGGATTCAGGGGCTCACATAATTTCTTCATGCAGTTCTCTTTTCATTTCTTGGCTTACCTTGCTCTGGGCTGCCGTCATCCTCAGGCCCTGCGGGGTGACCCCTGGCACCCCCACATTTGCTTCCTTATTGCTCACAGTCTTGTGGAACCAAAGTGCCTTCTTGTGTCATGCCAGTAAAAATCCTGAGATTAGCTGTCATTGGACCCACTTGGATCCTGTGCCTGTTTCTGGACCAGTAACTATGACCAAGGAGATGAAATGTCCCAGTCAACTAGTCCTGGCTCAGATGCCTACTCCTGGAGCCTGGGTAGGGCAGCACCACCCAAAGCACATGAACTGATAGGGGAAAAGAGGAGTTTACCAAGAAAAATTGTGATGCTGTCATAGAAGGGACAGTGGTGCTGGGTAGGCAAAATAGCAGCTTTCCATTTGGTCACTCTCATGCGTCAGTCTCATGAGTTGCAGCATGAGTGAGTGGGAAGTAAGAGATCAGGTCAGGAACCACAGGAGTCTTAAGAATAAAGAAGTGATGGGGAACACAGCACGACTTTCAGGGAACAGTAGTACAACCTTGGTCACAGGCCTGTGGACCTCTTATTTATGAAGCTAATGTTAAGCAGCCATAAACAATGGTCACACTTTTCTTAGCTATAAAAAATGACTATATTAAAGAAGACACACATATAAATGGAAAACATTCTGTGCTCATGAATTGAAAGGAAATTTTGTTAAGATGTCAATACTAGTAAGAGCAATCTAGACTCAGTGCAATCCTCATCAAAATTCCAGTGACTCCTTTTGTGGAAATCCTAAAATTCATTGAATCTCAAGGGACCCTGAATAGCTAAACAATCTTAAAAAGTTGGAGATCTCACACTTTCTGATTTCAAAACTTATTACAAAGCTATGATAATCAAAACAGTGTGGTACTGGCGTAATCATAGACCAACATAAACCAATGGAACAGAAGTAGAGAGTTCAAAAACAAACCCTTGCATATATGCTCACATTATTTTTGACAACTGTGCTAAGACCAACGGAGAAAGGACAGTCTTTTCAACCAATGGTATTAAGAAAATAGTATTACCTCAAAATGGATCAAAGAACTAAATGTAAGATTTAAACTACTAATCCTAGAAGAAAGTAGAGAGGAAAAGCTTCAGGACATTGGACTTGGCAATGACTTGTTGGATATGACACCAAAAACACAGGTGACAAAAGAAAAAATAGATAAACTGGACTTCGCCAAAATTAAAACCTTTTGTGGACCAAAGGACACAATCAAAAGGCCACCTGTGGAATGGGAGAAAATACTTGCAGATCATATAGTATCTAATAGGGGGTTTATATCTAGACTACATAAAGAACTCCTAAACTCAACAATAAAAATTAAACAACCCAATCAAGAAATGAGCAAAGGACTTGATTAGACATTTCTCTAAGAAGATACACAGATGACCAATAAGCACATGAGAAAATACTCCATATGACTAATCACTAGGGAAATGTAAATCAACACCACAAGATACCACTTCACACCCTTGAGGAAGCGATTATTTAAAAATGGAATACAACTCATTGGTAAGGATGTGGAGGAATCAGAACCCTTGTGCATGCCACTGGTGAGCATGTCAAATGGCAGTTCCTCCAAAAATTAAATACAGAATCACCATATGATCCAGCAGTTGTATTCACAGATGTGTCACCAACAGAACTGAAAGCAGGAACTTGAGTAGCTATTTGTACACCCATGTTCATAGCAGCAGTATTCACGACAGCCAGAAAAGAGGAAGCCACCCTAATGTCCGTCCACAGAGGAGTGGATGAATGTGGTGTACGGGTACCATGAAATGCTGTTCATCCTAAAATAGGAGCTTGATTCTGATACATGCTAGGACCTGGCTGAACCTTGAGGACATTATGCTAAGTGAAATAAGCCAGTCACAAAAGGACAAATAATGTATGATTCCACTTATAAAAGGTATTTAGTTGCATCAAATTAATGGAGACAGAAAGTAGAACAGGGGTCACTGGGGCCGATGGGTGGGGAGGGCGGGAGGTGTTTCATGGGTACAGAGGCCGAGTCTGGGCTGGGGGAGAAGTTCTGGAGACAGGCAGGGGCGAAGGCTGCCCGATAATGTAGATAATGTGACTGTATCTAATGCCACAGAACTGTACACTTAAAATGGTAAAATTTGTGTACTTTACCACAATAAAAATGTATGAAACTGATATAATGCCATATGTCAGTTATATTTCAATAAAAATACTTTTAGCTTAAAAAAGTGGAAGTACCCAGTCAAGTGTCATGTGCCAAGAGGCCCCCATGCAGCAGGCTCTTTGGGACCCAGTGACACTGAGTTTTGTTGAGGAGCAGAAAATAGAATGCTCACAAGAGAGATAAAGGGTGGAGATAAAGGTCGCAACGTTATTTCAGTTACTACTTCTATAGGTGGACATGCAGTGAGGGCTTTGGAATTGTTCCGAAAGAAGTGCCTTTCTTCTTGGTAACTTGAGAAAGAGGTGTGAATACCTGTGGCTAAGCCACATTCCAAAAATAATTTGCAGACAGGAGTGTGAGTGTGTGTCATTAATCGTGGGACTGTATCAGGGCTCCCTAACCTCAGGGCGTGTAAGGAACTGGGCTGCACAGCAGGAGGTGAGCTTGAATGTGATGCACTCAAATCATCATGAAACCATCCCTGCCCCCACCTGGCCCGTGGACAAACTGTCCTCTAGGAAATTGGTCCGTGGGGCTGAAAGGGTTGGGGACCACCGGACCATATTATATATATTCTGTGGTAGTGAATTTTCAAGTAATTTCCAGTCATGGGAAAAAGTGAGAAATAATATGAAGAAGCTATTCTTGACAGTCTTCCTCAAAGTAGGGTTTTAAAGGAAAGTTGCAGACGTGTTTATGTCTGAGCATGCAAAGGCCTAGGAAAGACAGATGCCAGTCAGCTCCTGTTAAGAAGAGAGGACAGACTCAGATGAAGATATTTTAGGGAAATCCAGTGGAAAGGACCCTTTGCAGAAGCCTGCACAGCTACTGGGGAAACCACAGGGACATGCAGTACCCAAAGCTGAAACAGTGGGGGCTGAGTGGGGAGGGGAGGAAACGGTTACAGGAAACTAGAGGCCACAGCTACCCAGCGGGAGCTTTACCCTATGGGCAGGGAGTCCCCAACACTGATACTCTGCTTTCTCCCTCCCTCTCTCTTCATCCTCCTGATCTCCCTTTAGCCGAAGCCAGAGGGCAGAGGCACCTGCCTAGGTGGCCCACAGGGTCTGCCCCTGGGGGTGCTGAGCAGGACTAGAGGGGGTGATATGGAGGAGGAAGGAGCAGACAAAGGTGGTGTCGCCGAGTGGAGTGACTTCCTGCTGCAGCTGGTTTCCACGTCTCATGTGCAGGACACTGTTGTCCATGTATCGACCCAGAAAACCTCATTTTCCGGTGACAGAAACATTGGTTTAGACGACATGCAAGAAAACCATGCCATCTCGTATTCATATTTACATGTTCTACATTGCATTCACAGACTGCAGGAAATACACTCACTCTCTAAAGAAGCTATTTTATATTTCTGAATTTCTTTGTAATGAGGTTCAGTCACTCTATTTGTTACTGGGTTGGTGTACATTCCCTGTCCTTTCAACTTTAAAGTTCCCCAGAAGTTCGCCATGGGCTTTCTCTGTGTGAGCCCTTGAGTGCTCCTTGAATTTAACATTCCCATGCTCTCCCTTATATTGGTGGGACCATAAAAGTAATCTGAGACGATTGAGCCCCAGAAAAGATGCAGACTGCCTGGGTTTGAATCCCGGCTCTGTCACTTTGTAGCTGTGTGACCTTGGGCAAGCCTCGGTTTCCTCCTCTGTAAAAGGGAGTCATAATTAGGTACACCCCCTGGGGTCGTGGTGGGGATTGAATGAGGTGATGTGCCCTTAGCACGATGCCTGGCGCGTAGCGAGCCATCCGTGAGTGACGAGTATTGTTATTCCTGTCTCTTCCTCTCTCTTTCCCTACCTCCCTTTCATTTCTACCCTCAATTTCTGCGTAAACTTCTTCTCCCACGGCCTCCATGAAACAGACCCTCATCTTACGTGGCATGTCTCCCTCCCCTTTCCTCCTGTGTCGATTCAGATTGTGAGCACGTCCAACGCCTCCCAGACTGTCACGCTGGTGTACGTGGTGGGCAATCGGAGCTCCTTCCTCAATGGCACCGTGGCTAGCAGCCTCCTCCGCCAGCTCTCAGCCGAGCTGGTGGGGTTCTACCTCACCTACCCGCCGCTCACCATTGCTGAACGTGAGTATGTACCCGTCATACTGGGACTCTGCCTTTTTCCCAGGGGCCTTTCTTCATTTTGCAAACAATCACTGTGGCAGGCTGCATGCTCGCTCTTTGGTTGTAAAACAGCAACTGGAATAAGAGATACATAGGATCGGCCCTGGCTGGTGTAGCTCAGTGGATTGAGTGCAGGCTGTGAACCAAAGGGTCACGGGTTCGATTCCCAGTCAGGGCACATGCCTGAGTTGCAGGCCAGGTCCCCAGTGTGGGCCGTATGAGGGGCAACCAAACATTGATGTTTCTCTCCCTCTCTTTCTCCCACCCTTCCCCTCTCTATATAAATAAATAAATATTTTTTTAAAAAAGAAAATATTAAAAAGAGAGAGATACATGGGATTAAATTGATACCAAGTTTATTACACATTGTGAAAAAGCCCTATCCTTATAACCACCCCGTGAGGTAGGTGCACAATTAGCATCCTTTTGCAGATGAGAAAACTGAACTTTGTTACATTTAATAAAACATCCACAGTCACACAGCTAGTGAGACCTGGACTCTGGGGTTTGACCCCAAGCAGTCTGCCTCTGAGCGTACAGTCCTGCCTGGTGGGGTGTCTGTCCTCCTGCCGACATGGAGTGGCTGTGGTTCCCCTGCTCCTGCCATCAGCAGACGTCCCGGGCCAACAGCCCTTGCCCTGGCAGCAGGTACCAGCGCAGCTCATTTGCGGTCAGCACTGCAACTTCTCTTGATGAAGTCCTCATAGCCTGTGGCCTTGTCTTCTTCTAATGCTTCAGTTACATAATCCTCATTACCACACAGCAGGCACAGGCTCCGAGGACGATGCAGCCTACCCATGTCCCCAAACACTTCCTTGGTCGCCAAAGGAAGGAAAGATTTGTGCTTTTAAGTGTAATTGTTGGTACATTTCTCAAGGTCACTGGGCAAATTCTCTTTTAAACCACACTAGCAAAATTCTATCTATGCAAAATTCTTAGCAAAATTCTTTCTATGTCCTTCCATGGTTGTTTTCGACATTGTAAATAAATGTGATGATGTATGTGGATGTACTTCAGCCCAGGGTGGCCATTCAGAATTTTTTTTAATGTTTGTTTAATAGCAAGCTTTTGCAAATTTATACATAGTAAGGAAAGATAACTGGATTTTATGGAAAAGATTACATCGTAAAAGAAGGCTTGGTGACACATGGCAGCATGTGAAGAATTTATTTTCTCTCATCTTGATATTCTGATAATGACAACAGCTAAGATTTACTGAGCACTCACTGTGGCTGGGCACTGTGCTCAGCCCTTTCTGTGCCTTAACTCTGGTGGCCACTACACCTGTGAAAAAATGTTAGTTACAGCATCCGGCTGCTACACTCAGTCCTTGACATTGGAAAAATCCATTCAAGAGATAATCATTCCTAAAAATGGTAGTGATGCTTGGATATTGTTAAAGAAAAAGCTACCGTTAAGACAGGTGCTAGCTGTGGATCTTACTAATGAAGATGTTCAACATAAGAAGGTTGTGGTGGGAAACTGAAAGAGAAAAAACCCACAAACCTGAGAAAACTCTTCATCTGAAGGTGAGCTCTTTACTGAGTATTTTAGTTTTCTGAACAGCAAGGTAGGTTTGGCCTGCAGGTCACAGAGTTCCTAAGAATGATGGAGCGGGTCCCAGCTCCTTCATACTTTGTCACCTGTGTTTACTTCCCTTGACAGTATTTACCTATGAAACTCAGAAAAGTAATTTGGCGTGTTTCTTATTTGTTTTAGCGCTGGAATATCCCAACCTTGACACATCAGAGACAACCAGAGACTACTGGGTAATTACAGGTAATCTCTTCTTTTATTCATTTCCCCTTTCCCCCATCAGGTTGGTTTTTTTTTTTTTAAACTGCATGTCAAAAGGAAAAAAACTAAAAAAAATTAAAACTGCATGGTACTCAGTGATGGGATTGGAATCTGTTCTTTGGTCCTGTGCTGTAATTCAAGGAGTTACTGTCCCAGGACCAGGAGTGGGTGGAGTAAGCTAAAATAAGAAAAAGCGTTACACTGAAGGTGAGTATTAGATAACCAATTTAAAATAGCAAGCTGCAAAATAGCCAGCGGCCTCCTCTTTGCAGAAAGGGGACTGATTGGAAGGCACAGTGTTTACCTGTGGTCATCCAGGGCGTGTCTGTGTGGAAGATGGTGGGCCTTCCTGCATTGCCCTATGAAATGCCAGTGAAGGTCGGAGGAATGCCAGGCACGCACTTTCCTCCATCCCCTGGCATGAGGCCCACACCCACACTGATGCTGGTGGAGCCCAGGCATGTCCTGACAGTGAGGGTGGATGGAAGTAGAAGGGTGTTTGGGTGGCATTTTCTTTTTTTTTCCTTGACATTTCCCAACTGAGCTTTATGAAACAGCAAAACAGTTCTTGTTTTTCAAAAGCCAGACAGTAGCTCAGAAAAATCAGAGAAGCAAGGATTGGAAACAGAGAGAGAAGGCAGGTGTTTATTGGAGGAAAAGGACCAGGCCAGCTGTAAAAGGAGGGGACAGTGGAATTCTATGCAGCAGAAAGAAAGAAGGAGCTCCTACCCTTTGCAACAGCATGGATGGAGCTGGAGAGCATTATGCTAAGTGAAATAAGCCAGGCGGTGAAAGACAAATACCATATGATCTCACCTTTAACAGGAACCTAAACAACAAAACAAAGAAACAAGCAAAATATAACCAAAGACACTAAAATAGAGAACAGACAGACAGTGTTCAGAGGGTAGGGGAGAAGAGAGGGAATTTCAGGGGAAATCCAGGGGAAAAGGGGAAGGGTTTACAGGAACAAGTATAAAGGACACATGGATAAAACCTAGGGGTGGGTGGAAATGGGAGGGAGGAGGGGAGGGCTGGGTGGGTGGGCTGGGATGGGAGTAAAAGATAGAAAATTGCACTGCAACAACAATTAAAATAAAAACAAATTGATTTTAAAAATATCATTCTATATAATATTACATGTAAATAAATTGATTTAAGGTGAAAAAAAAGGAGGGGACAGGAGAGGGAGGATATTAGCCAGCTAGGGCTGCATTAGAAAGTACCGCAGACTGGGGTGGGGTGGGCTGGGGTGGGGAGGGGGCTTCACCAATTCTGGAGGCTGGAAGTCCCACATAAAGGTATCAGCAGGGTTGGTTTCTCTGAGACCTCTCTCCTTGGCTTACAGATGGCCATTTTTCCTCTGTGTCTTCACATGGCTTTCCCCCTGTATGTATGTCCTAACTTCCTCTTCTGATAAGGACACCAGCCTATTGGATTAGGGTGCACTTATATGATCTCATTTTAGCTCAGTAACGTCTTTAAAGGCCCTATATCCAAATACAGTCACATTCTGAGGGACTAGGACTTCAATATCTGAATTTTGGGTGGTCACGGTTTAGCCCCTAACAAGGAGGGAGGAAGATCCTGCAAGTCCTGGACGATGTGCCTGGGCAGGCCCTCCTGAATCACCTGCAGCCCTGGCTGGGTAACTCAGTTGGTTAGAATGTCAGCCGGATACACCAAGGTTGTGGGTTTGATCCCCGGTCAGGGCACATACAACAAGCAACCAGTGAATACATCAACAAGTGGAACAACAAATTCTCATTCTCCCTCTCTGTCTTTCCCTCACTCCCTTCCTCTATCTCCCCTTCCCCCCTTCATCTCTCCCTTCCTCTCTCTAAAACCAATTTAAAAATTAAAACCCGACCTGGCTGGCGTAGCTCAGTGGATTGAGCGTGGGCTGCAAACCAAAGCATCGCAGGTTCGATTCCCAGTCAGGGTACATGCCTGGGTTGCAGACCATGACCCCCAGCAACTGCACATTGATGTTTCTCTCTCTCTCTCTTTCTCTCTCCCTTCGCTCTCTAAAAATAAATAAAATAAAATATTTTAAAAAATAAAAATTAAAACCCTCTTCCCTCTCCACCTCCTCCCTCGCCTGCTGTCCCAAGCGAGGTGGGCTTCTGCCTGGACGCCGACAAAGGAGCACACAGCCCTGCTTGATGAGGCTGCTCAGGGCCTCTCCTAAATTGCAGAAAATTGCTTTTCTTTCTCCCCTGCAGAGCCATGGATATGCAGAGGTTCTTTTTTTTTTTTTTACCTGCTAAGAAGACAAACTAAAGAAATGTCTTTAAAAAAAAAAAAAAAACACCTCACCAGAGTTTATGCCCAAGAGAGAGACAATGCTAAACCAGCAACACATTTTTGAAGGCAGCAGGTTATATAACGTTTACAAAATCATTTTTTTTCTCCACCAGGAATGCTGCCTTTTAATTTGCAGAGATTTCCATCCTTCTATTAGCTTAATGTTTACATTAAATGGGAACATATCTGTTCTTAAACACAGGATGTCCTAGACAACTTCTTGTTTCAGTTCATCCTCATGTACGTGTGTCTCACCCTGCCTCAACTGTAGTGGCATAATCTTAATAAAGCACCCTCACATGGGCTTGTTTTCAGGATTCTTCTGGGACTTCATGCTCTGTCCCCTCACCTGTGTAACCCTCCTTTGTTATTGCCGTGGTGGCTGTGCGTGATCAGAAGAAACAGTGGTCTCTGTCACTGTGTTTGGGACTGGTTGGATCAGTTGGTACTTGGGGGGACTGAAATCAGCCTCAAGATGGCCCTCCTTCCTTCGCTTTGGCTCATGGCCACTTTCTAACCCCGTGGGCGGGCACCACCGACCTTTTACCGTTAGTTACAAAAGGGGTAGGGATGGGGAACTGAGAGAAGAAAATAGCTTTGTCCATCCTGTTCAAACCCACAGCCCGTGAATAACCAGCCACTCTGCGTTCACTCCCAGGCATTCATCCCTGGCCATTGCTAACTTGGAGGAGCTTTCCTTTGGTTAGCGGGTATTACAATACCCTACCATGTTTTCACCCGTATGCCCACTGAACTTGCATTAAATGTGTTCTGGCACACTATACACTTCTGCCCTCCCTGGGCGTGGTCCCCCCTTGGTGGGAAATCATTGGCTGGGGTGATTTCTGCAGTGCACCTTTGCAGAGAACCCAGGAGCTACCCTGCTGTCCATGGGCCTTGCTGTCAGGCGGGATAGAGACGTGCAGACTTACTGTTGCCCCCTGACCGAGGTGAGAGCCCAGCGTGGGTGGGAAACCTATCTTTATTTCACCCACCGGAGTAAAAATACTGCAGACCCAGCTATCGCAGGATTCCCTCTGGTCTCAGCTCTGCTACATATGACCTGAGTGTGTCCTTGAGCCAGTCACTAGACCCTGTGGGTGTCACACCCTCACCCTTAAAATCAGAAGATAAGAGCTGAATGTTCCGGTTCTTTTGGCTCTGAATGTGTGAGATTCAACCACAAATAAAACAGTTTCAATTGAATATAGGAACCTGAACCAGGCCCGATCATTGGAACTTTAGGGTCCAGCGCATTTGCAAATAAAGAAAGAATAAGAGACTAGTAATGTAAAAGTCACCAAATGTGCCGGACAAAGCTCCTTTGAACACAGCTGGCGACTTGCCCTCCTGCTCTAAGCTGAGTCAGTGGGGGCAAGGCTAAGAGTGGGAAGCCAGGGTCCAAGCGCCCCTACTACTTGTGTGCCCCTGGGGGAGATGTGGGTGCACACCCCTCTCTTCTCCCTTCCCGGCCAGGGGAGAGGGCCGGGAGCCTGAGGCCTGGCACACTTCTCAGGGAGAAGGAGAGGAGCCACAATCCTGGAGCACAGTTCTATGTCAGGTCTTTGCTCCCTGGTAAGGATGTGTCTAGCAAAGAAGGGGATACATGTGAGCAACGACAAAGCTACCAATTACTGGCACCTTCTCAAGTGCCCTAGGGCACTGTGCTGGAAGCATTTTTTTAAAAAAAATAAAGTATCTGTTCTTTACAATGACATAATCAAGAGTAGAATATGATCCCTTGTTTTCAGATATGGAAGCAGGACCCAGCAGAACTGGGTGTCTTGCTCAGGAACACTCAGTGAATGGGGGAATCAGGACTCAAACCCAGGGCCCTGGCTGCAGTCCCCCCTACCCCCAACCCCGGAGGACACGTTCTCTTTGCCCATAGAGCAGTGAAGCCTGCGGGAACTGTCCAGGTGCTGATTCCTTGGAACTCTGCGGCGGTTCCCACAGCCTTTCTGTGGAAGTTTCTTTGTTTTTCTCGCCATTTTAAAAATTGTAGTAAAACACACATAACATGAAATGTACCATTTAAACCATTTTCAAGTGTACAGTTCAGTGGCATTACATGCATTCACAGTGTTGTCCCTGCTGTCACTGCTATCTACTTCCAGAACCTTCCCATCAGCTGAGGGGCTTTGGCTCTCCCTCTCTTTGATGTCTGCCCCTGAGCCATCACTGGGATCCCCATAAAGTAATCAATCCTTGATGATGCCCTCGATGTCCTGTGTCCCCTCTCTTACTCTGCCCATTGGTCAGGAGAGGCCAACTTAGAAGTAGTCCTTCAGCAGTTGATTGCATAACTCTACCAGAGTGGGGACCTCTGGATTATCAACACCACGGGCTACCCTGTCTGGGGCCAGAGGCAGGCTGTGTCAGGGGACTCCCAGGGACCCCTGGGACCTGCCACAGTGGGAACGGTGCAGGAGTGTTTTATCCGTCCGCAGGAGTTCTGCTGGCAGCTGAGCTGGGAGTCCCTCACAAGGACCCTAGAAAGGAAGCTGCTTTATGCCCTCTATGGGGTTTATTTGGCATTTATCCCATCAAAGACGTAACTTCTGAAACTCAGCTGTGGATTTCACTTCTCTCTTGATCAGTTTAAACCGAATTCTCTGTGTCTTGTGGTCATCGGCTGCTTGTTCTCGCGCTGAGTAGAATGTGATCGTGATGACACGTTGTTCGTGCCCAAGCTGTTTCCTCATCCCAGTAGGTGGGAGGCATTGATGGCCCTTCGCTGGATGGTGGTAGAACAAACTGTTAAGTGAAAAAAGTTGTATTACGTTTCCAGTCCGTGTAAGTTTTGGTTTCTTTAAGATGAGAATTCTTTTTAGCACTTTTAGTTCCAGGGATGGCCGTGTTTGAAGGCAGCTCTTGTGTGTTCGGGATGAAGCGTGCTTCCCAAAGTTACCTGGAGGCAGGACTGGAGCTGGGGGCGGGGCCGACAGCAAAAGGAGAGAGGGGCTGGTGCTAACTCCTGCACACAGTGTGTCTCATTTCGACCATGGATCTCATGAGGAGTGTATTTGCTGTGATGCAGACTTACTCCCTTTTACAGAGGACTTGCACTCAGACAGGCCCAGTTGTGAAACTTGCAGAAAGTTTCACAACTGGCAAGAGCCTGTTCTTTCTGGCATGCTGCCCTGCTTTCAAATGGAAGAGTGCCCGAGAGGCCCTGGGCAGCTTTGGGACGGCTCTCAAAAGGACCGCCGAGGAGGGAGAGATGAGGACATTGAACAGGGTGGTTTGCCAAGGTGTAAGGGCCGAGTTGGAGGATAGAGCTTAGATTCCACAGCAGAGCTGTTGAGAAGGAAAATTAAGGGTAGCCCTGAGCCAGGGCTTCTGAGTGGGAACCAGCAAAAAACCAGTTTAGCCATACCTGTATGCGGGCTGCACGCCCATAGGGACTTTAACATGTGATAAGGATCGGAGTTAATACAGCAGCGTTAGACATGTCACAGCTCATGGAGGAGGGAGCCCAGGCTTTGGGTTTGAGCCCTCACTTTTCTGGTTACTGGCTATGGCCTTGACAAGTCGCCGCTTGCCCTTTTAGCATCTATAGCATGTGGATAGTGATTCCTAACTCCCAGGGCTGCTGTGAGGGTAAAGGGAGGAGAGGCTGGCCGAGCCCTCCCATGCAGTAGGGCCCATGGCTGGTGCTGGGGTGGTGGTGGCTGTGGTTCTGAGCCAGCAGGGAGTCTGTCCTCTGAGCAGCCCCTCTTCCTTCTGCACCCGCAGTGCTGCAGGGCGTGGACAATTCGCTGGTGGGTCTGCACAACCAGAGCTTCGCCCGGGTCATGGAGCAGCGCCTGGCCCAGCTGTTCATGATGTCCCAGCAACAAGGCCGGCGGTTTAAGCGGGCCACCACCCTGGGAAGCTACACCGTGCAGGTGGGTGTGCTTGAAGCCGTTGGGGTCTTTAATAACTGTGGGGGAATGTGCTGCATCCAGAGCAGCAGCTGCACTGCAGACTGACCACGCCATCTAATCCACAAAGCTTTGACACTTCGGGGCTGGGGGTCATAACATCAAAACCATGAAGGAGGGTGAGAGCTACTCCCCCAGGAGTCTCTCTGCCAGATTAATGGTGCTGGGAGTGCCTGGGAATTAACCAGTGGTGGGGGTATGAATACCCCAGCTCCCTGGTCTCTTAGCAAGGAGAATTCTGAAATGTATGGTTTAGATCATTTCCAGAGCTTTCCCGTTGAACTAAGCTTTAATTACCCACTGTGGTAAGTGGCTTAATAACACACCCTTTGTTAGCTCCCTCCCCACCCCTGTATTACCTACTCACCTTCCTGTCAGTTCTCTGCATCTCTGGAATAAGCGGTAAGCACTCCATTCTTCCGAGTCTGCTCCTAGGGAACCTAACAGAAGACAGCAACCTGACCAGGTAAGGACTGTCAGCCCCTAGATTCTTTATCTAGTTCAAGCAGGGGAGGGACTGTCTCTAGCATGTTCTAGCCAGTCCACGTATCTCGAATAGCCCTAATTTCACCAAGAGAACCCATTGCTAATGTTTGTTGTGCTAATTAACAAAGCTCTGTTGAGCAAGAAGACAGTTAGGGAAGGGTGCTCCAGAATGGCCTTCCTAATTGGAATCTGGCCCACGGCCACGGGGATGTGAACTTCTGGTTGGTAAGTCACCACATCGTGGGTGTAACTTAACTCAAACACACAGGCCTAGCATCACACTAAGAGAAAGCTTGTTTTAAAGGAAATTAGAGGCGTGACCACAATCTATCTGCGGATCATGTCCCCAGGCAGTCTTGTAAGTACAAACAACCCGTCTTCTGGAACATTCTCTCCTGCTTGAGTCAGCATCGTGCCCCTGAGGGGAACTCCAGGTCTGATGTCCACAGCCAGTGACTTTGGTCCCTCATCCTCTTGCATGTTGCTTTAGTTCTAAACATCTTTGTGGCCTGTGACAGCCTGTCCTGAGGAAAAACAAGGGCTCATTTTGCATGCCAGGTTGATTCCGCCTCTGTGGGTTCCGTGCCAGCCCTATAATTCACACTTCTTCGAGCAACAGAAAGGGAGTCGCTCAGAGCACCATGAAATGGGATTTGCCTCTGCTGAAGCGGGGAGGCGAATCATTTACTAATAACACCTACAATCCTGGTGTTACTAGTGACGCCAAAATCTAACAGCATTCTTTGTGTCGAAAAGGGTCCAGTGAGATATTCTTCTCTCCTTTCTTCTGAGTACCCAGTGTGCGTGGCCCCAGTAGTGGCCAGGAATACCTGCGTGAAGCAAGCAGGGATTTCTTTCTGCCAATCCCTAATTTACAGAGGCTGTAGATCAGCTTGTAACATTACCCTCAGAGAAATCTTGGTAAGAAGGATTTGCTGAGAAATTGAAGTTGAGTGAAGTTATTAGATATTTGAAAGCTCATTCACCTTCTACCTGGTTGTACTAACACTCTCCAACTTCCTCTCCCACAAGGGACAGGACCAACGTGCCTGAGTTTCCCAGGTGAAATTCACTCCACGCAGCTTACATCCTCTTTCCACACGGAGGCCTTCCTTTGGGGATCTGATCATTTTAAAAGATGAGCCACCTTCATGAATACGGAGATTTAGAGGTCTGGACTTGAAAGATATTTTTCTAGTAGATATATTTGAAAAATAAAGTCCAACAAAGAAATACATATGGCCAACAAACATTTTTAAGTGTTTAACTCCATTTGCCATTAAAGAAACGCACATTTTAACTACCATAAGGTTACCTTTTCACCTACAAACAATTAGGGACCTGGTGCTTGCCAGTGTCAACAAGGATGCAGGGAAGTGGCAGTTTCAAACAGTAAATGGACACAACTTCTCTGGACGACGAGTGAGCAGTGTAGACAGAAACCTTTCAAATGGTCACAAAAGGACTCATAGATGGTCGTTTAGAAGAAATAGAGGTAAACACAAGGACGAAAGGGGAGAGCAGCATTTCTCAGACAATGTCCAGAAAATGGTCCTTGTAGGCTGCCCTGAGGCCGGGGGGCTCCCGGGTCAGGTGCGGGTAAGGCTGCGTCCTTTGGCCCTGCTGGACCATTCCCAGAGCACATTGGCAAATCAAAGACTCTAAAAGGCCTATAGAAAAGAAATCTCCTTTCAACATATTATATGGATTCTAAATTTAAATGCCAGCGAGACCCTTGTTTTTAGTAATATCTACATTTCTCCAACATTTTATTATGAACATTTTCAAAATCACAGACACATTTAGAAAATGATATGGTAAGGGCCTACACATTTCCCATCTAAGTTCTACGATTAACAGTGTGTACTATGTTATTGCTGTGTATTCGATCACATATGCATCTCCACACCATAGATCAGTTTGGACTGTTCTAGCGTTTTATGTGAATGGAATCCTATAGTATATTCTCTTTTAGGTAAAACTTTTTTGACTCAGTGTGGTGTTTTTGAGATTCATCCATGTTGTATTATTTGGCAGTTTCTTTTTTATTGTTGAATAATATTCCCTTTTATGGATATACTACATTTTGCTCATTCTTCTGTCCGTGGGTACCTAGGCTTTCTCCAAATTTTAGCTATTATAAACAAAGCTGCTACGAACATTGTTCTACACGTCTTTCTATGGCCACACGCTTTCATTTCTCCTGGGTATATAGGAGTTGAACTGCTGGTTCATAGGGTTGGCGTATGTTCATTCTGTGAGAAACTGCCAGATGTTTTTCCGAAGTGTACCATTTTACACTCCCACCAGCCAGCTGTGGAGTTCCAGTTACTGTACATTCTCATCAACAGTCGTTGTCAGCCCTTGTTATTTTAGCTGTTCTGGTGGGTGATGGTTGTGTCTTGTGCCTTAAATTTTCATTTCACCATTGATCATATTTTAGATGCTCATCGGCTGTTTAGATGTCTTCCTTTGTGAATTGTCTGGTCATATTTTTTTAAAAACCATTTTTGTTGGGTTGTAGTAACATCTATTTTTAATTGTCACATATAGTATACATTCCAAGGGGTGTAAAAATATGTGGAGTTTAAAGACCACTAATACAAAGAACCCACAGCCCACAGGGTTAGAACATATTCTTTTCTAACCTCAGAAGCTTTTGTGTGTCCTCTTTTATTACACATACTTCCTTCGTTCTGTTAAAGTTGAGTGTGCTTCTGAATTTCATATTAAATCATGCCTATATTTTCTGTATGTATTTAAGCATCCATATGTGTGTATCCCTAAACAGTACATCATTTGGTTTTGCCTGATTTTGAATTTTATATTCTGTGATATTTTTCCTCAGTGTCAGGCTTTCATATTCAAATATCCAGAGTTTAGGTACATTACTCTATAATATTTCATTGTGTAACTATACAATAATTCATTTATCTGTTCTACTGTTAGTGACTTTTGAATTTTTAGGGGTTTTTTTGTTGTTATTAACAATGCTGCTATAAACAGTTTTGTAATATCTTTCAACATCCTATGAAACTCATAATCCATAATATACAGTGTGGAAAAACACTGTAGTACACTATGATGTCTATCAATTGTTAATGATAACAGTGAAAAGTTGATAACAACCTAAATGTTCAAAAAGGAAAGGTTAGTTAATGTATGAGGCATGCATACAGTGGGACATTATTAACTATTAAAATTCATGTTTTATGTATTTGTAATGATTTCCAATCATAAGTGAGTGAAAAGTGAGTAACAATTAAAGTGTTTAACAAGAAAGGATTGGCTAAATAAGTTCATGAGGTGTCAGAATGTAGTAATTAACATTTATGCTTTTGTTGTATTGAAGGTCATTTCAGGATATGAGTAAAAACAATGATATGTTATACTATATACAAAGTACTATAAATAATTTGGTAAAACAATAAATAAAAGGTTTGTGTGGGGAAAAAACTCGAAGAATAGAAGCAAATACTCCAAAATGAGAAAAGTCATTAGCTTATGGCTAAGGGATTACAGGTGGTTTTTATTTTGTTTCATTTCCTGATGTTTTTCTGCAATTTCACATTTTCTGCAGTGAATATGTATAACTTGCACAGTGAGAAAAAGCAACAGAGGTAATTTTAGAAAAGGACTTTGAACCTCCAGGTACTGTTTTTATCAGAGATCTTTTGAATTGCAGGCATTGAGGTTCATTTTTCTCCCTCTCTGGCAGTTGCAGGAGTTTGAAATTAGAAGTCTTGTTTGAGAATAACCTAACATGCCCTGAATTAATGCGGAGGCCTATTTTCTAATGAGGCCAGAGTTCTCTGGAGGCTGGAAGACATCACCATCTCAGCGTTTTCTTCTCCAGTCACACTGTGCTTTCCAGATGTTCGTCTCTTCTCCTCCTGTCTCGCCCTCCAGCGACAGCTGGGCTTCCTGCAGTCCTGGTGGTAGGGAGGTGCATTAAGGTTGATGTCTTAAATAGATGCTGTGGATCCACTTGGCCACGGAAGGCCTCAGCAGTCAGGAGAGAGCCTGCTGATTGCCCCAGTGATTGCAGGGTCTATGCAAGATGCCCTATAAACATGGCCTCTTTTTTTCTGAAAGATGGTAAAGATGCAGCGGGTGCCTGGACCCAAGGACCCAGCGGAGCTGACTTACTACACCCTGTACAACGGGAAGCCTTTGCTGGGGACTGCGGCTGCCAAGATCCTGAGCACCATTGACTCCCAAAGGATGGCCTTGACCTTGCATCACGTTGTCCTTCTGCAAGCTGACCGTAAGGGGATAGTCTTTCCATTCATTATTCTTAACGCCATTAAATGTTTCCTGCAAATCAAAGTGATACCCTGAGCTCCTGTTAATGGACCCAGAGCTAAGCATATTTCTGTCCTAGAAGGTTTTTAAATCAATCAGCTGTGTTTGAAGCAATAGGTTTGGGGTAAGGGACAGGTTTTGAGTATTAGAAAGACAGTAATGATAATTGCTATGCCCAGATCCTACCCACTCCTCCTCCTCAGTATAGTCTAGTGAACAGCTAGAAAAATCACCATAGCTGCCCTGGCTGGTGTGACTCCGTGGATTGAGTGTTGTCAGCTTGCAAACTGAAAGGTCACCAGTTTGATTCCCTGTCAGGGCACATGCCTGGGTTTCGGGCTGGGACCCCAGTTGAGGGTATGTGAATGGCAACCATTCAATGTATCTCTCACACATCAATGCTTCTCTCCCTCTATTTGTCCCTCCCTTCCCCTCTCTCTAAAAAATAAATAAATAAAAATTTAAAAGATTTAAAAAAAAATCACCATAGCTGAGATCATATTTGTTGTCTGCGGAGTGGAAGATAATTTGATTGAGCCAGCATGTGCAGAGTCCTACAGGAACTGCCGCCTTGGTGCTGGAAGATGCACGGAAGTGGGCAAGACCTCATCCTTGCCTTTGGGGAGCAGAGAGGGAGCTAATGCGAACACAGAAGAGTAGACGGCAGGAAAGTGCCACAGGGAGGTCGTGTGATACAGGGGTTGACAGAGGGAGAGTTTGCTCTGAAGGTACATCTGGGAAGAGTGAACGGAGAAAGGATATTAAAAGTAATAACTGCTCCTTTGAATACCCTCTCCCCTGGCAGCTGCTATGCTCATTGCTTTACATGGGCGTTCTCACTTTCCCTGTTTGTTAGGGCAACTTTATTCAGCTCCCAAGTTACCGATGAGCAAACCGAAGCTCAGAAAAGTTAACTAACTGGGTCAGTATCGCAGAACTAGTACCTAGATCACCAGGATATGAATCTGGATCTGCCTGACTGCAAATGTGTGTTCTTAACTGTGTTATGTACTGAGACTTCAGCAGAGGGAAAGGAAGGGCGTGTATTCCAGAAAGAGGGAGAGGCACAAAAAGAATAGAAGCAAAGAGTACCAGGTGTGCTTGAAAAACAAGGGGTTCAAATTGCCTGGAGTGCAGAAACTTGAGGAGGAGTTGATGGGATTAGGGAGGCTTATTATGAGAGAGCCAGGCCTTGGTTGGCAGGGGGAGATTGTGCGTAACGTGATTCATCTGTGGGAGATTTGCTGGCTCACTGTCTCTTCTACAGCGTTTCCCTGTTCCAGTCCATCCTCTACTTTAATCTCTCATTTTGCAGCCTCCTCACTGCTATCTGAGGCCTAGTGTTGTTTGGGAAGGGGCAGAAAGGCGAGAGCTGGCTTTACTTGGAGCAGGAGGTGAATGGAGTGTCAGGGGAAGCGGTTGAGGCTAAAGGGAGCTTGCTGGTGGTGGTGGAAGGGGAATGGTGGAAAGTTTGAGAGCGTGGCTGGGAGAAAGATCGCATCAGATTAGAAGATGCGGGGAGTCTGGAATCATCTGGGGGATTCCCCAGAGGCTTGACTATGACTCAGAGAGTCAGGAGCCAGACCCTGTTCTGCCCGGCTGCACAGCTGCTGTCCCTCAGCCTTCATTTTTTGTCTCCTCCAAAGCCACATGGTCCTCTCAGTTCCCTTCTTTAATAACTCACAGATATCCTCCCTCTGCTCCATTTCATCATCATGTCTTCTCGGACTTCGCAGGTATCTTCCAGATAACCTCAGTCACTTGGCCATTCATGCACGGTCTGCACTATAATTAGAGTCATTACATACACTTTGGAAAACACGGATTCTGATCTTACAGCCACACTGGAGTGTTCACCCCTCATGTTTCCTGTTCCTCTAAAGCCTTCCTCAATCCCTGAAACAGAACAACACCCCCAAATCTTTCTTAGTTCCAGTGGCCTCCATTGCCCTTATCACATTGAGCAAACAACTGACCTTTGAGCTCTAAAAGCAGGTACCACATCTCATTTGTCTTTGAATATCCAGCCCCAACCACTGTCTGGCCCTGTTCTTGTGAAGACAACCACCGACCTTTGCTGAGTGTCTCTGCCAGTCCCTGAGGGAGGCACATGGTTGGAAGACACCCAAGCAGAGCAAAGGAGAGCAGAACCTTTGCAATAAAACAGACCTGGATTCACACCCTTGCTCTTCCACTTTGTAGCTGTGGAGCTCAGAGACAAATGAATACCCTCTCTTACCCTCATTTTCCTCATCTGTAAAGTGGTAATATTTAAGAAACAGACCTGATAGAGCTACTTAGAGGGCTAAATGAAATAATTATTTTATGTAAAGGGCTTAGTACAATCCTGGGGCTCCTAGTAAGTACTTAGTAAGGGGTAGCTGAATGACTCATTTACCCATAAGGTAGAAGGACTAAAGGAGGGAGGGAATGAAGAAGGAAAGGTGATTTGCAGGTTAAGAACCCATGCAATTCACAGAATAGGGTGCTGTTAATGAAAATAGAAAGGGGATTGGAGAGGAGAAGCATTTTTAGAAGGGAAAGGTAATTTATTCCTTCTGGGCCATGTTGAGTTTAAAGTAATGAGATATTAAGGGGTGCTATTTGCATATTGAGGGGGCACTGATAAAAATAATTGAGCCCTGGCTGGTGTGGCTCAGTGGATTTACTGTCAGCCTGTGAAGCAAAGGGTTCCTGGTTGAATTTCCAGTCAGGGCTCATGCCTAGGTTGTGGGCCAGGTCCCCAGTAGGGACGTGTAAGAGGCAACCACACATTGATGTTTCTGTCCCTCTCTTTCTCCCTTTCTTCCCTTCTCTCTAAAAATAAATAAATGAAATCTTTAAAAAACATATTGAGGGGTTGCCAATGGATATTGAGGACTGAAGTTAAGAGATTTGTTGGAATTCAAGTCTGAATCTCAGGGGAGAGGTTAAAGTTAACACTGAAGGATTTTTAGAATGTTGTAGATATGAGTTAGAGTTCAAATCCCAGAGGAAATTCTGGGGAGAGAGCATCACTAGAGGACAGGCCCTGGGAAGTGCCTCCCTGCCCAGGATCCGATGGGGAAGAATCTGAATCCAATGGGGAGGAGGAGGAACAGAGATGTTGTCGATCCCATTTTCTCCTAATAGCTTTGAAATCAGCCTGCAACGTGAGTCCAAGGTCAGCACGTCGAATAGAGTCAGTGTTGAATGAACATCTTGTTTCTCTGAAGTGCAGAGGCGGGGCAGATAACATTCTGTGTGTTCCACCATCTCATAGATGGCCAGGTCTGGGGCCAGCGTGCAAAGCCCTATGTGCAGTGCCCCACAGTGGAGTGTGCAATGCCACTAGCCTATCACCTCTAGGTAATGAGACAGCAGTGAATTCTAAAGAGGTGGCTGCGTCTCCTATGAAGTTTCTCATCAGCTCCTTTTGCAGGATCTGGAGAGAGAGGTTCTTCATAGTGGTTATGTAGCTGATGTAGCAGAAACACAATTCTCCCCATGCAGAACCAGGCCAGAGCAGGAATTTGTTTACCTTACATGGCCATCAGGCACTTATCTCAAAAATACCATTTACAGCCCTCGATGATGTGGCTCAGTGGATTGGGGGCCAACCTTTGATTCGCTGGTTCGATTCCCAGTCAGGGCACATGCCTGGGTTGCAGGCCAGGTCCCCAGTGGGGGATGCATGAGAGGCAACCACACATTGATGTTTCTCTCCCTCTCTCCCTCCCTTCCCCTCTCTCTGGAAATAAATATAAATCTTAAAAAAAACATTTACAAAAAGCAATAGACTGACCCTTTGATGAAGGGAATATGTGCGCATTCACTTTTTCAACACACTCTGTGAGCACCTGTTACGTGCCTGGAACTGTGCTAGGCACTGGAGATACAGCAATGAACGAAACAGACAAAACTACCCGCATGGAGCTTACATTTCTGAGTGGGTAGATCATATAAAATAAATAACATGTTAGATGCTACTACATGCCTTGGAGAAAAATGAAGCAGGAAGGGCTAGCGGGGCGTCAAGAAGATAATGGTCATGATTTTAAATTGTTGGGGTGGGAGAGTCAAGAAGAGGCTCACTGAGGTAGTAACTTTTGAGTGACCACCTGAGGCTATCTGGGGACAAAGCTTCAGGTGGTGGGGCGTGGGGGATGGTTTGAGACCAGCAAGGAGGTCACTGAGGGTGGCAGCAATGAGTCTGAGGCACAGATGAGAGATCATGAGCACATGAGCGTCATGGCCACACCCCGGGAGGGGTGACAGCCACGGGTGCCTTGGGCAGGAGAGTAATGCACACCTAGCACACGCCAGCAGTAGGGCCTCCTCCCCATCCACTTGCACCGTCACAAACTCTGATGTTGTGACAGCCACAAAAAAATGAGCTGGAAACATTTTTAAATGGATTTCTCTTTTTCAACATTTGTTCCACGGGAGAATAATTTATGTTTGGTTTAGGTGATGTGGATGCTTGACTTCCTTCTTTCTGACAAGCATTTGTATGTGCGTGCAGCGTGCTCACATGCATACTTCCACTCATCTGTGTCAACTCAGAACTGTCTTCGACTGTGTATGTCAGAGAATGATTTCCCAAAGGAGCACCCAACCTCCCTGGGGCTCAGTGTGTCGCTGCACGTGGGGATGAGAACAGCCCCCGGGCCAGCGGCCTGTCACACTGCCCGGCGCACAGTGGATGTCCAGAACATGTCGTCTCCTCTTCCTGTCCTTCCCCTGCTGCAATTCTGGCAAATTAAATAAACGTTTGTTTCTTTTCACCTCCGTACATGACTTTGTAGTTTCAGATCATCATGCCAATGAATATATTGTGTTTGGATGACTTCAGTTGGCCTAACTTTACCATCTGTTTGTTGAAATGCATTTATTAATGTACCTGAGGTGACTCTATTCTCTCCTCATTTAAATAGAGGTGAAAGGATTTTACAGACTGCTCCAAGAAGGAACATATCCACCAAAACAATGAAGTTGAGTAAAAGCAGGACACGTGTAAATATTTCATTCTTGCTAGTGAAAAGAATCGATATACATTTAGGGTATCATGTTGTGATACACTATACGTTTTTCTTTATCAGGATAGAATAGCACAGCCAAGAAGAGACATATTCATATTTTTCACAGCAGGTCTGAGCTTTGGGAAATGTTGAAGGCATAAAACTCACATATAAATACCAAATTACTAAAAGCAGGAGCAATTAAATGTTTAATGTCAACAGAAGCACACCATCTAATGAGCTGTTTTCAGAAGTTAATAATGTGATTAATCACCAATTGACAAAAACTGGGGTAAAGAAATTCTTTGTACCAAGAGCACTCCATATCCAAGCGCTGCCTGACGAGAGGCAGATCTGGGCGACTGGGGTACCAGGTGAAGCGGGGGTGGGCGGTTGACGTCAGAGAGACAGAACTGGCTCCCCAGGCTGGTCCTCACCGTGTGGCACTTACCAGTGGGGTCTTTGTGTTCCAGACTCTGGTCCTCAGCTTTGCCAGTCTAGTAGTTCGTGGAGTTCAGCAGAATCAGGAGAACCAACTCATGCTAACCAGACCTACCAAGATACTGATATATAAACCAGACTGGCAGTATATTCATTTAAAATATGGATTAGAGCTACCAAGGAGATGGTACTTCTTTTAACTGCCCATTACTCTATCCTATATGAAAATCTGTATGGGGAACCAAATTGTAACAGGGGTAATGGAAGTTCATTTATATACTATTTCAGCTTTTAATTAAACACCTACTGCATGCAAGGCCCTATTCTAGGCCCTGCAGATAGAACAGTAAATAAGAGACAAACATTCCCTGCCCTCTTAGAGTGTATATTCTGATACAGGGGCCAGGGGTGACAGAGGACATTTGAATTGTGTCGGGGAGTGATATGTGCCTTAGAGCCTTGTCACTCGGAGTGTGGCCTGGGTGCCTGCTGTGTGGGCGCCACCTGGTAGCTCGTTTGAAAGGCAGACTCTCAGACCCCTCCCCAACCCACAGGAATCAGACCCCAGGTGATGGACGCGCACATTAGAGTTTCAGAAACAGCACTTTAGAGAAAAAAGTGAGTGGGGTGGGGGGGGTGTGGAGAGTGCCGAGCAGGAATTTGTATTTCCTATAGAGTATGGGGAAGGCCTCACAGGTAGGGTGACACTGTTCAGGGCCCTGAAGAGAAGTCTGATAACAGACATTGGCCTGAGAAACTGAGTTGGGAAGCCATGCGGAGATCTAGGTGAAGAATGTTCTAGGTGAAGAATGTTCTAGGTGGAGGAATCAGCCAGGGCAAAGGCCCTGAGGCAGGAGCATGTCTAGCACATTTGGGGACCAGTAGGAGGCCAGAGTGAGTTAAGGCAAGAGCACTGGGCAATAAGGCCAAACTGGGGTGGTTGGAGGGGCAGATCACTTAGGGTCCCCATAGCAATTCTGAGGACTCTCTGGCTCTCACTCCGAGTGGGGTGGGAGCCTCTAGAGGGTTTTGAGCAGAAGAGAGTTGTGATCTCAGTTTTTAAAGCATCATTCCAGCCCTGGCTGGTGTAGCTCAGTGAGTCAAACGTGGCCTGCGAACCAAACAGCCGCAGGTTTGATTCCCAGTCAGGGCACATGCCTGGGTTGTGGGCCAGGTGCCCAGTGGGGGCCACGTGAGAGGCAAATACATATTTATGTTTCTCTCCCTCTCTTACTCCCTCCCTCTCTCTCTCTCCTAAAAATAAATAAAATCTTTAAAGTGTCACTCCAGCCGCTGTGTTACAAATAGACCATAGGGAACAAGGTAGGAGGCCACTGAGTAATGCTTCAGGGGAGAGGCGTGGTAGTCTGGGCCACAGTGAAAGCAGCACTGAGGGCCAGAAGCGGACAGACCCTGGATATATGTTGGAGGTGGAGACAGACAACAGAGTTTGTTGATGAATGGATGCTGGGTGAGAGTGTAAGAGAAGGGTCAAGACCGGTGACAAAGTCATTGGCCTGAGAAACTGGAAGGGAGAAGTTGCCATTTATTGGAGTGGAGAATATCACAGGAAGAACAGGTTTGGGGGTGAGGGGGGATTTTAGAGCGGGTTTTGGACGTATTAAATTGAGATAGCTAATTGGAGAGTTGAATTGGCAGTTGGATGTAGGAATCTAGAGTTCAGGGTAGAGGTTGGAGATATGTGAGTATAAATGAGCATCATCAGAACATACATGGTATTTAAAGTCTATGAGATCATCTAGGGAGTGGGAGAGAAGCGTACTTGGGCGGTGTAGAGGGACAGTGTCAGCAAGCCACGACAGCCAGGTGCCGTGATCTCGTCCACCAGGATCGACCTGCCACCCATCCGGAGTATCCAAGTTTACCAGTCAGGGCACATTCCACTGGTGTGGGCAAGTCCTTGCCTGGCCTTTGTTCTCTTTCTCTAGATTTTTTTTGCAGACCTCACTTCCTGCTATTAAGGCCTTCCTACAGGCAGTCACTTTGCTTACTGTTTTCTTTATTTTGGTTCTAAGAACATATTGGTTCTTTTGATTGAACTGAAGTGTTTTCCAAGCCTTCCCACCCCCAACCCCCGCTAGTGATTATAGGGGACTCATCCATCTCATGTCAGGGGCTCTTTTCTTTCTCTTATATTTTTCTAACCCAACTTCTGAAAAAGTTGAAAGAATCATACAGTGAACACCCATGTTCCCATTACTTAGATTCCACAATGAGCATTTGACTGTGTTTTTATTATCACATATCTGTTCATCTACGTATCCCTCCATTCATCTACTTATCCATGTTTTTTTAATGCATTTCGAGGTTGCAAACATCTGTAGACTTCAACCCTACACACTTTAGCATGCATACCATTGCCTCAAGTTCAATTATTTATGATGTTTTTAGGTAAAATTTACATACAGTGAAATGCACAGAACTTACGTATCTCATTTGATGAGTGCTGATGAATGTAGACATCTGGGCAACGCCAGCCCTATGTGACCATCCCCCTGTCACCCTTTGCAGATTAGCTAATTCCAGCCTCACCCCCTGGAGGCACCCACTGTCCTAATAGCGAATTCTTCCTACTGACATTGGCCTCTGTGGAAACAGCCTGATCCTTTTGATTAGACTGAGGCATATCCAAGCTCCCCAGCCAGTCATCTGGGGAGGCGGGAGGGAGGGCTCCACTGGTTACATTTTAATCGTTGCTCACTCAGAGGGTGATGTCACGGCCATCTATAGAGTCATCTCTCTGTGGCCTTTGCCTCCTCATTCCAGCACCGCTCTAGTCCTCAGATTTCTTCTCTCTTCTCTCTCGACTCATGGACATCACCAATGAGGAAAGCTCATACGTATCCACCTTCCTCCTCCTCGTAGTGAAAGCGAAGCCTAGCATTTTAATAAGCACCTATGAAAGTACCACATGTGTTTCCTCTCATGGATGCCTCACGAGGTGACAGCCTGGTTTACAGATGAGGAAACTGGGACTCAGAGACCTTGAGTCACTTGCCCAGTGCGAGAGCCTTTCTGATCCCAAACCCTCTTACCCATCTCACGACTTGGGACTGGGGTGGGGGATTTATCTCCGGTGGCCTTTCCCCTTCCCAGTGCTCCCTGTCATGTGCTTCCTGCTGCCTCTTTCCCGTAGCCGTGGTGAAGAACCCGCCCAACAACCTGTGGATCATCGCCGCGGTGCTGGCGCCCATCGCCGTGGTCACGGTCATCATCATCATCATCACTGCCGTGCTCTGCCGGAAGAACAAGAACGACTTCAAGCCGGACACGGTGATGAACCTGCCCCAGAGGGCGAAGGTACGCAGTGGAAGCAGGTGGAGAGGAGCAGGGGCCCCAGCCTGCAGGGGGCTCTGTCCGCCTTTTCCCTCTTGGCTTTGGAGATGTTGCAAGTACCTTCAGAAACATCCTAATGAGTGCTCATTTTCTTGCAGGAGACCCTTTATTTATTAATTTATGCGTTTGAATGTTTGAAAGTTTATGGTAAAATATGCATAACAAAGGTTATCATTTTAACCATTTTTAAGGGTACAGTTCAGTGTCGATAAGTATAGTCACTTGGTTGTAATCCCTTCACTTTTACAATCAGGACATGATAGCTGCTGCTTATCTCATGCTCACTCTTTGCCGTAAATGCTTCTAAGTGCTTTCTAGACAGCAACTCCATCCTCGAGGCAACCCTTTGAGGAAGGGCCCTTATTTTACAGATGAGGAAACCAAAGCACAGACAACCAGACAGACCTAAAAGGCACTTTGATCTAAGCTGACTCCCTCCATTTACTAAGCAATGACTCCTTTAGATCGCACAGTTAGGAAGTAGCAGAACTGATAGTAGAATCAGGTTTCTTGGCTCATTACACAGGGCTCTTTGAGGCACTGTAGACCATCAGAATGTTCCTTCTTCACTGGCAGGAGAGTGGCTTACTCTCAAAGGCTGCCATGATGGCAAGCTGCAAAGAGCCCTGGCCAGTCACTGTCACACTCCAGGGGCTCCAGTGAAGCCTGGCCAGGGGCCCCATCCACTCTCGCAGCCTCCACTGGTCTGCCCCAGTCACCCCTGGGGAATGGACTGAGAAAATTCCAAAGCCTCATTTTCCAGTCATGTGGCTCCCTCCATGATATTCCATTAAAAAATGCATTCACCCTTAATACCTGATGTTTAAATAATGCCTTACAATTTGCTGGGCTCTCCTAGGTCATGGTCAGGGAAGGCTTCATTATTTTATTGCTCAGAAACCCCAAGGAAAGAGAGACTGTGGGACTTGACCAAAATCACAAAACTCTCAGCAGAGGGGCAGCTCCAGCCTCTGTCTGAGGCTTTGGGATCTTTCTACTTCCTACACCTCTCTAATCCCCGAGCTTTGGCAGGTAGAATCCCCTTCCAGCTCTGAACCCCCGAACTTTGTCCATCTGTGCAGGAGTGGAACAGTGACTGGAATTTCATGTCCACTGGAAGGCATGTCATGGAGCTCATTCTTGCTGGGTGATCACCCCTCACTTCAGCAAAAGAAATCAAATGAACTTTATTGTTTGTTAAATCAATTTACCTGTTGAGAAGCCGCAGCCTGAATAGACACTCTGTGTACTGATCAGCCAATCCCCAAAGAATGTCGTTCTGTTTCTGTTGACACAAAGCCACCCTCTTCCCAGACGCATCGTGATGTTGGGAATTACCCAAGCGGTGAAAAGTGAAACTGTTCCAAGTGGGGGCATTTCGTTTCCATCTGAGCTTGCTTACAACCTGAGCCTTTTGGACCCAGCAGTAATCACCAGAATCTAATCGCAGCCCAGTCCAGGAATGCAAAACATGTCAGATGAGGTTGTAAATGCCATCTTTTGTGTTATAGATTAAGCCAGAATTTTATGAATTTGCCAAGGTGAGTTGGCCAGCACTTGATTTCAGCATAGCTTCTGGCTTGAAAGCTCTCTGCAGCTGGAACAGATTAATGTCTGTGGGTTCTTATAGCCCTTTTTTATGTTCCTGCCTGGTGCGTTGTGCTTCAGGAGACGCGTTGTGCTTCCAGGTATGGCTAGTGTTGGAAATCGAGCAACTTTATGTCGCATGAGATGATTGAATTCACTTGTGTGTGGTGATTCTCGTTATCTTCTCCCTCAATGAGGCTGGGCTACGCACTTTGATTGCCAAAACCCTTTTACCACAGAAAACCAGCAGGGTGGAACTTTTTCTTACTGCATCCTTCTGCGTTGTGGTTTGCGGGAGGAGAGCCACCTGCATCACGCCTCATGACTTCTGTGTGGGAGCAGTATTCATTGAATGCCAAGGGACAAGGTGGAATGAAAACGTTAGCTTTTGCCACCAATGCATGAACCAGGAGGACAGTCTCCTGGTCTCCTGGGACGTCACTGTGTCTTTAGAACGCAGACTGCAGTGCCAGGGGACATCCTGGGATCCTGGCTGAGACTCAGTAAAAGACTTAACAGGCTAAGCGGAGGTGGGTGTGGCTGTCCTGGGAGCTGCCAAGGCATGCACGCCCGCACCCTTCTTCAGAGACAAGGCACCCGGGACAGGCCCAGCCGCCGCTGCTGTCAGCTGCGCCCAGCTGTTGGGAAGATGATAAACGCAGGAGGGCCAGGCAGTTACCTCCTTTCTTCCTAGTTCACTTCTCTTCGCTCTTTGTCATTGAATTCACATCCTTTTCCCTGCTGTTCTCTTCCTGTAATTGAAGAGAACATGGCTCCCAGGAACAGGCGATCGTAGGGAACACGAGCTAGGGCTGTGTCAGGATGCACACAGAGTCTGGAGGGCCTGCAGGGGTTGGCATGGCTGTCTGCTCAGGACAGGCCAGTCACCCCCAGAGATACCCAGCGTTTCCTCTTTCTGACATCCTATGTGTATGACCTGTACGTGACCTCTTTCTGACTCAATTTTCCCATCTGTGAAAGCGGGGTGATAGGTTGTGGCAAGGACTGAGTTACATAAACTACTTTGAGCTGTGCCTAGTGTATAAAAAATGTTATATACAAGTTGGCTTTTACTATTACAATGCTCTCTTCTTAAAAGATCTGGGTGACATTTCTACTTTTGAAATTATTCAAGATAATTGGATTGAATAGTTTTACAAAACTCACTGAAGTAACATAAATACTTCATGACAACATATTGATGGGGTTGGGCGGCACTAGTTGTGTCTAATGAGCAATTAATTAATCTCAGGCAATTTTCACATTGGAGGTTGAAAGACCACTACCCTGTCAGTCAGAAGAGTAAGGGACGAGTCTTGAGTCTTTTACCACCTAGCTGTGTGACCTTGGGCAAGTCACTGAACCTCTTTAAGCTTCTGTTTCCTCACCTGTGAAATGAAGTCTGTGGGGTGTACCCTGCTTGCCTCATGGGGTTGCTGTGGGGATGAAATGAGGTGTCACCATTTTGCAGGCTCTAAGTACTGAACACATGCAGAGACCATTACTTCTGCTTACCCATCCTCAGCCCGGCCCCTGGAGTACCCAGCAGGGAACTTCAGCCCCATGTGAAGGGTGAGGAGCCAAAGGAGAGAGAATTGGAGGTGGGCGGGGGGGCCAGAGCCAGCTTGTCCTCCTCACTAGGTTCTTGGGAAGTCTCAGCTACCATTGGAGATTCCCAGTCCCTCACTGACATGCCAGGAGTCTCAGCACAGAAGCAAGGCCAAGTACGGTAGGATATGTCCAACCAAGACGGCAGACAGCAGAAGGGAAGAATCGTCAGCAGAGGTTAGGTGTTCTGGCTCTGGCTCCGTGGATCAGCTGTGTGAGCCTGGGAAGTTGCTTAACCTCTCTGAACCTCAGTTTCTTCATCTCATAATAATACCTCCCTCCTTGATGGGTAGTGAGGATGCAACGACAGGTTTCTGTAATGTGTTTGGTCCTGTACCAGTGATATCAAGTGAAGCCGCAGCTGTGAGGCCCTAGACGGTAGGGGGCCAGTTACATTCATCTTTGTATCTCCAACACCAATCAGGGGCCCTGGCACAAGCCACTGCTCCATAACTATAGTTGGAACAAAATCGAACAGGATAATGGGGAGCTTGGCCTATTGTGGAAAAGAGGCCAGCAGGAGATGAGGCTGAGCAGGTGGGTTCAGCCAGAATTTGAAGGGCCTTGAATGCCTTGCTGTAGAGATTAGGAGTCATAAATCAATTCTAATGACCTGATGTGGTTTAAGGGAAATACTGGGTTGGCCAAAAAGTTCATTCTTTTTAATTTCCCGTAAGCTGGCTCTAGTAGTGCTTAGCCGTCTTTAACTTCATTCAAAACAGTTTTGTTAGATTGTAATGTGACAGCTGTCATATCAGAGTGCATAAAAAACATAAAAATTGGTGAATTTTAGCCATGTTAATATTGAAGATGGAAGAAAATAAGCAACATTTTCTGCATATTATGCTTTATTATTTCAAGAAAGGTAAAAACGCAACTGAAATGCAGAAAAAAAGAATTGTGCAAGATTTTACCAGTTGGGCCACAGTCCTAGACCATTAAATCTAGCTGGAGCCTTCCTGTTAATATTTCTCAACTAAATTAGCTGCTGAAGGAAGAACTCTGATCATATCGAGTTCTGATAGAACCCAAATGGTGGAGGTTGGTTTCATCCCTAGATTTTCTTGAAGAGAATCACTGATGTCCATTTCACCTGGACTGAGATTTAGTAGCAAAGCAAACAATATTGAGACTAATATCGATTGAATGCTTACTATGTGCCAGGCGCTTAGCTAAATGCTGGACTTGAATTTACTTACTTAATCCACACAACATCCCTCGAAGATGTTGCCTGCCTATCACGCTCACAGCCATACACATTGTGTCCTGTTTACACTATTATGATCTTCGTTTTACCAATGAGGAAGCTGGTCTGCAGGGAATTTCAGTAACTTATCCATGGTCACCCAGCTAATAAGTGGCAGAGTCAGGATTAGAACCCGGGCAGTCTGTTTTCAGAGCTGTTGCTACTAACCACCCCATTATCCTGTCTCAGACCTGTATTGTGCTGCTTTAGAGTGTAAAACAGAATAGAGACACTCTCAGGAGTTGTTTAAAGAAGCCTCTTGGTTTTTGATCACTCCACTAATAGATGTCTGTTGGGTTTTGCTCACAGCTTGCCTATTCACTTGGGATTTCAGACGTTATACATTAAAAGCCTTGCTAATTTCTCAGTAATGAACAATAGGAGCGCCAACTTGCTTAAGGGAGAGTCTGGATTAAATAGTCCATAGATTCCACGCAGTGGCATGTTTTTTTGCCTCTGTTTGCAGAGCTGAGATTCCCCTTTAATACTCAGGATGGTGGAGGTGAAGCAGATAGGATTACCTTCATTTCTCAGATGAGAAAATTGAGGTGCAGTGTTCCAGTGACTTGGCAAAGTCACACACCCTTTATTGCATAGGAGTTAAGAGATGGCAGAACACTCTTATGTAGGAACCTGTTTAACGTACCAATGGACAGTTTCTAATTAGCCATATTCAGAGACTTAAAATTAGTAGTCTAAAATCCCTGCATGAGGTTTGTCCTCACACACATTTTTTGCATCTTGTTTTCACTATTCATTTTTCTGAGTAAGTCTTATCTATAGAGATTCTGAAGCTAGGTGGAATTACCATGCAATCTGATTTTGCAGAGACAGATTATGATGGAGATGAGAGAACTTCTATTTATCAGAAAGCCGAGCATGGTCCTGACACCTGCGCTTTCCCGCTTGTCTTCTCTCAAAGCCGTGGTTAGAGGCACACTGTGCCAGAAAGACGAGTACAAATCTGTTTCCTCTTTGCAGCCTGTGCAAGGCTTTGATTACGCCAAACAGCACCTGGGCCAGCAAGGGGCAGACGAGGAGGTCATCCCCGTGACCCAGGAGACGGTGGTCCTCCCGCTGCCCGTCAGAGATGCTCCGGCCTTGCAGGAAAGGGACGTCGCCCAGGATGGAAGCACCATCAAGACAGCCAAGTCCACTGAAACCAGAAAGAGGTAGGCAGGGGGCCCACTTCTGCCTCTCCGTGTCAGCAGGAGAAATAATTGATGGTGAGAGGAGCCAAAGCCCTCCAGTTAATTCCACTGTTCTCTTTGAAAATCCCCCTTCCTGCTCATTGTGAATATTTGAAAAGGAGACCGAAGGAGATGAGGAGAGCCGCACTACCTGCTTCTTGTGCGCCACACTGCGTAAGGTTTTATATCATAGATCCACCACAACAGTGGAGACTTATCTCTTACATTTGTGATAATAAATTTGGCACTGACATTGCACTTATGCATTTTAACTTATCTTAAAAGTGGTTCTTTTGATTTAGCATGTGTGGTTATATTTTATCTGGTAGTTCCTCAATGGTTTAGGATTTTAGTTCAAAACCATTTATTGAGTTTTTACTATGAACACAGTATGTTGACATGCATTGGAAGGACTACACAGGGGTTTCAGATTGATTCCTCGCCCCAAGGATCTCATGCTGGAGAGACAGAGAGAGAAATAGCTGGGATACCAAGCAGGACATGTAGGCGCCACAGTGGAGTCTGAACAAAGTGCCGTGGGAAAGAGAGGCGTAAGAACTTGACTCTGGTGAGGAGGGGTGTTGTGGAGGAGGCTGAGTTTTAGCTGGGCCTTGAAGGGTGAGGGGGGTGTCAATAGGTGGGAAGAGATAAAGGCATCCAGTCCGAAAGAGCCGGGAGAGAGAAGGGATAGGCACGCTCACTTAGTGGCGGGTGTCCCTGGAGTTTAGAGTTCGCAGGGACTGGGATGTGGTGAAGGATAACAGCAGAAAATAGATTAAAATTGTGGAGGGTTTTAACTTCCAGACTAAGGAGTTTGACCTTTACGCTCTGGCCGATGGGAAGCCACCTCAAGTTCTTCAGGAAGATAGTAATGTCCAGCCTGTACTTGAGAAAGATGACGCAGGTGGTAATGTGGAAGATAGATGGCAGAGGTTAGGCCAGGAGACTCATTACCTTATTATAAGGACTTAGCAATGGCCTCATAAAGAGGTAATAACCCCTATGGGAAGCCCTGTTGGCCGGCTACACCGGCTCCCATTGCCAGCCCCTTCTCCCTCACCTCGAGACTGCAATGGCTGGCAAAGCTACATCCTTCCGGCCTCCTTCCCTCTTTCCCTCCCTTCACCTAACAGATATGCATTGATTGTTTGTTGTGCATCAGGTACTGGGGATATTTCAGTGAAGAAGACAAAATTCTTGCTCTCATGGGGCTTATAGTCTGGTGGGGAGAGATAGACAATAAACAAACAGAAATAAGTAGATAGTAGGTCAAGTGGTGATGAGTATGAAGAACACCGAAGCACGGTGAGGGGACAGAGAGATGGAGAGCAGGGAAGGTGATGCTGTTTTAGCAGGAAGCTGGGGAAGGCCTCTGTGAGAGAGTGACATTTGAGAAAGACATGATTGGAATGATGGATAAGCCTCGAGGCTATCTAGAGGGAACTGGAACAGGGTGTGCACATCCCAGAGGCGGGTACTTTGACTTGCACAAGGGAGAGCAGGAAGGCCAGAGAGGCTGGTGTGAACCTCAGGGGAAGAGGTCGCAGCTGAGTCAGAGAAGTTGCCCAAAGTTTGATCCTGTCAGACCTCTTAGACCAAAGTCAGGCCTCGGAATTTGTTGTGAATGAAGATCAGAAGTCTTTGGGAAGGACATTGACATGATGTGACTTGCTGTTTCCACTCTGGCTGCTGTGTGGAACACAGATTATAGAGAAACAGTGTAGGAGCAGGAAGCCCTGTTAGACAGCTAGTCTAGTCCAGTTGAGAGATGGTGGTGTGAGGCATGACTGGATTCTAGAGATGTTTTGAAGGAAGAGCTGAGCAGACTTGCTGAGAGCCTATTGTAGAGTATTGCAGAAAAATGGGTTTGCCATGTATTGTGTGGGAGAAGACTTTGTAGGGGACAGTCAAGAGTTTAGATGTGAAGTCTGAGATGCCCATTGGGCATGTAAGAGGAGATGTTGAGAACTCAGTTAACCACACGAGTCTAGAGTTCAGAGCAGAGGTCCAAGGTAGAAATGTGAATGTAGCAGTGGTCAGTGTTTACATACATAAAGCTGAGAGTCTGGATGGAACAACCTACCTTTCTCACAGATAGAGAAAAGGTCGAAGAGCTGGTCCCTGGGGCATTGCAATGATTCCAGGCCCAGATGATGAAAAAGAATCAGCAAAGGAGACTAGAAAGTGTCAGGAAGAAAGGCACAAGAAGAGCAAAGCAAGAGTGGAATCCGAGAAGCCAAGAGAATGGAGTAGTTTGAGGAGAAAGGGAAGATGGTCTGTATCAAACACTCAAGTTTTTGTGTTGGAGTCAGGAGCAGGTGCATGTGTGTTTTCCCCAGGAGCTCTTGGTGCCTCAGAAAGAGGCACAGAGAAACAGAGGGTTGGGTTTCAGAGGGCTGTGTCAGAAAGAAGGTTGAGGGCATGTGGATTACTTACCTGTGCTCCATCACAAACCACTCCAAAGCTTAGCAGCTTAATATGACAACCATCTACTGAGCTCAGGGACAGCAGTTTTTTTGTGGGACAGCAGTTTAGGCTGAGCCCAGTAGGGTGGTGGTTCTGGTCTGAGGTAGGCTTGGCTGAGCTCAGCTGGGGTCTCTCACGCATCTGTAGTCAGGTGGTAGTCAGGTGGGCTGCCTTGTCTGGGTTGGCATGTGGTCTCTCATCTTCCAGCAGGCTAGCCCTGGCTTTCTGATAGGGTGGTTACAGGATTCCAAGGACATCAAGAAAAGCCCCAAAGGGCAAGCCCCTCTCAAGTCTCTGCTATTGCATATTTGCTACTGTCCTATTGATCAAAACAAGACACATAGTTAAGTCCAGAGTCAGTGCAGGAGAGGACTACTCAGAGCTTGGTTAACTGGAGGTGTGGACAAATTGGGACCATTGCTAACTGTCTACCCAACAAGGGGGATCCTAAGCAGGGAAGAAACCAAACGTATAGAGAAACATATATCTACTCCTGCAATAGATGATTTATCTGAGTTAACTGGCAAATGATATTACCTACAATAATTACTTTCATTGTGATTTTTGCCAAATACAATAAAAGCATATTAACAACTTATTTATCACCTATTTAAAGGACAATGTAAAGGAATACATAAGATTATTAAAATTAGGATATTATTACTGCCACAAAAGAATTTTCTACCCATTCTAGTTGAGTGAGTTTCTTTAAAAAAATGTTTTTTAGACCAAGCATTTCTTTTTTTATTTTAAGAGTTTATTTCAAGCATTTCTTCTTGAATTAGCAAGACATCTACTCTTGCTAACAAAATTTAATTACCTCAAGATTTTTATCAGCAAATACTAGTTTATGAAACAAATACAGATAAAGAAAACAGATAAAGAAAATACCTACATTGCTGAGTGATTTCCAAATTTGCTTGTTGATTTTACCATAAAGATATAATTTTGCTAAGGTCTGGCTGTATCATTGCCAAAGGAAAAATTTCACCTCTGTTTAAGTGCAGCCAACCACAGAAGTCTGGTCAGTTGGGAAAATTTTAAGGTGCCAGCCCCGAGAGCAAACCCCTCATGCATCTGCGTTTCTGACCTTCCCATCTTGCCCCATCAGCTTCCTCATTCCTATGTGATCAGGACTGCATGACCTTTCAGAATGGGCCTGTTAGATGATCTGAAAAGTTTCACAAGTGAAAAAATAGGGAATTCCAGTGATTTGGTGGTCATTAAGTTATCTCAGTATTCAAAAACTGTTTTAAAAATGAAGGAAAATGAGCGTTCAGTCACTTGCAGACAACCAGACAGACATTGTGGGTCCTTCGCCTTATGTAGGCTCTGCCGATGCTATTTTGTTGGTCCACAATTGGGATTAAGGGGCAAGGGTAGAGAATCAACCATTCGCAATGGTTATTTCAATGCAGTGATTGGCCATAATTGTTCAGCAATTGATGAATCCTCACCGTGAGATTGTTCTTCCAGTTTTCATGTACACCCACATCCTCAGAATGAAGGCTGAGTTCAGTATCCCAAAACTGCCACCTCACAGGTGACATTGTCTTGCTTTCAAAAACATCTTTGTGACTGTCATGTGAATGGACACACATACATGTACAAATCTCACTCTGTTTTGACCAGAAATTTTGAGTTGATGACTCCATATAAACCTGCTTATAAGCTGAGGCAAAGAGTAAAGCAGAGTACCAGATTTTTCAGACTATAAGACACCTTCCCCACCCTACCCACTGCCAAATTTGGGAGAAATAATGGTTGTTAATGTTGCAGTTGAGTTCTGTTTACATTTATATTGGTGAAATATTATGTTATTTATGTTATTAAATATTTTACCACATTTTTTGCTTCAAAATATTTTTCCTATTTTCCTCTTCTAAAACCTGGGTGCATCTTATGGTCCAAAAAATACGGTATTTTTTTTTTCTCTTTCTCTCTCCAAAAATCTGCTCACTCACATCTTTTCTTGAAGAGAAACAGCCAGAAAATTGTTTCAGGATCAAATGAGGGAAAGGGTATGCAAATGCTGTGAAAACCACTAAGTAACCTGTGAATGTAAAATAGATCATAAGAAGCCTTTCCCTTCTCTCTCCTTGGGACCTTACCCGAAAGCCTCTTCATCCCAACAAAGCCAGCTGGAGGAGTGTGTGCCATTAACTGTGAGCTTCTGAAAACCATCAAAGGGCACGTGCTCCCTGCGCATGTGTACTTGTACACCCGGTATTCTGCAGCCAAATGGCTGAAGAATAAATGAAATATATTCCATAAGTTAATATCTTATGCATATGCTCCCGAACTTATTCTTCATATTACTAGTTTTATAGGAAATTAAGAGATTTTTATGGTGGAGGAGATCTATAGCAAAATAAACTGGGATATGTTGAATTAAACAAAACAAGATGAGTCTCTTTATGACAGGACCGGTCTGAACCTTTGATGTGTTCATGTGCTTTAGGACTATCCACAGAAGGGATATAGAGCATGGCATTTCCCTAACGTACTTGTGTGCGGGACTTTGGTAAGGAGCACCTCACTTGGCCGGTCTGCTCTTGGCAGACTCTGCCTTATCCCGTGGCTGTAAGTGGGCACTGTCATTGTTCATGATTTTTAGGGTGCTAAAGTGCATAGATGTGTGCAGAATTAAGAATTCAAAATTCCCAGAGGATGAGGAGGGAGAAGGAGGAAGAGGAGCATCCATTAGGTCAAGTGCTGCATTTTAGTCCAGTAAGTTTCCATTGTAAGGGCTGATGCAGTTAGGTTCTGAATCTGGCCAATTAACAATAGACAAACAAGAGCTTTGATGAGATCCAATATCTACCTCCTCACTGTGTCCCACAGAGGGGAAGGCAGTTGGTCTTTATGCTCAGCCCACCCACAGGCTGGCATGGTCTCAGGCCTGAGAGAACAGGAACTCAGCAGGGGGTCTCAAGAGCCCGGTTGCCCACCGGGTTCCAGAAGTCCAGCCCCTGAGGAGGGCAAGAAGACCCCATGGCTTACCCTGCCTCCGCTGGGCCACTGTAGAGAGAAGGTAAAGGGAAGGTGCTCTGGCATGTGGGGAAACTCCCTACCTGCAGGGGGAGCTCTGGCTTCCAGAGCTGATGTGCCACCTCCCAACTCTGCCCTGGACAGAATACTTCTCCTCTTCAAACTTCATGTTTCTCACTAGCTAAACAAGGGTGACAATCACCAAATCTGTGGATTGTCATAGATTCCTTAACAGTTTCAAAAGTGTCCAGCATTGTCCTTGGCCCCTGGTATTGTAGTTGCTCCTGATGCAGAGCTCTTGGAGAACGTGGGAGGTGTTAGTTTCTCTCTGTACCTGTACAATGCCCAGTACAGAGATGGTGCACATAAAGTATTTTCTGAATGAATAAATAGCTCAATTGGTAGTTTCAAATGAAAGTGGTTAGCAATTAGCAGAGTTAAGAATGTGTGTGTGTGTAAGAGAGAGAGAGAGAGAGAGAGAGCACACTTAACAGTGGAGTGACTTCTTGTTTAGTAGTCAAGGTATACCCTGTTAAGAAGTAGCCCAAGAGAACTGTGATTCATACTTGTCCCTAAAGATGCCGTGTGCATCAAATACTCAGCAACACTCTCCAAAGTGCTTTATTCTAATAAGAGGGCATGCTTAAAACGCCATCACCACCGTTTCCATAGTCACTGGGGGTTAATGAAAAAGAACCGAGAACTGCACTCCCTGAACTTCCCTGCACAGCTCAGCACCAGTCAGTGCACTTCAGAACAACTAGCTACTTAACCCGTGCTGTAGTATGGATTTCTTTTGTAAATTTCTGAATCATTTCTTCTTTGTGGATAAAACCAGAATGAAAGGCTACAGATATAAACTGTGCAAATAAAATAACCTTGAGAAGAGGCTGCTCTGGTCGGAACTTACCATCTCCCTGTTGCTATGGTTACCTCCAGCAGGTCGCCCAGTGAGAACGGCTCTATCATCAGCAACGAATCAGGGAAGCCCAGCTCGGGGAGGCGCTCGCCCCAGAATGTAATGGCACAGCAGAAAGTGACAAAGGAGGAGGCACGGAAGAGGAATGGTGAGAAGCCTTCCCTGACAAGCACCACCCCCGAGCCCGTCCCACTCACCCATGCTCACAGGCCTGCACGTGCTCACACCCACCAGTGTGCTCTCACCCTCAGTTCTTCTTTCTGTTGCGTCCTACAAAGGCCAGGAGTCAGCTTCCTACCTACCTGTTGGGTATCCGCTTACATCCCTCTCTAAATTATCCTGCCCCCTGTTCTTATGGAACCATGCAGGGCCTTAAAAAACTATGCAGAATGAACTGATGTTTGCTTAGAGATTTTTCTAATTCTGGGGTGAATCGACATTTCTAACACTGGGTCAACTAGAGTGGCAAGTCTCTGAAATGCTGTCAGTCTTGGAGATTCCCCTTGTTTTCTTGCTCTGACTCCCTGATACGTGGCAGCAGTTCAGTCTAAGCCAGTGAGTCCAAATGTTGCAAATGCACCTCTCCCAGGAAAAGCGGCACAGTAATAACCCTGCCATCGTAAACATCAGCCTATGCTTCTGCCTTTATTCTCCAGGGCAAGTTAACTCTGAGTTTCTCAAACAGATCTTCTCCCTCCTTATGAAGGTTTGGTGTTAGGGTTTGTTGATAGTCCTCGGAGCCACCTGGCTGTGCTGTGGCACCATCTGCAGCTCACATCTGTCGGACACCTGTGCAGCCTCCCTGTCCTCTTGGTCCCACCTGTATTCTGATCTGCCTCTCCAGTGGGTCCTTCCGTGGAACCTACACTTGTCCCTTTCTATCAAAGGGCTCCACTTTGTCATAATGCTAAGTTAGAGTTCACCAGTAAAAATCAGTAGTGTATATTTTATTGGTATAGAAGGTGGAGGGAAGGAAGGAAGGAAGGAAGGAAGGAAGGAAGGAAGGAAGGAAGGAAGGAAGGAAGGAAGGAAGGAAGGAAGGAGGGAGGGAGGGAAGGAAGGAAGGAAGGAAATAACACTGAATGGAATTGTGGAGAAAACAAAAATGCATCATATTGTCACCTTGCAAAAGATGTTTGTAACTGTGGCCTCTGAGAATAGACTATTCTCTTGGTATGGAATATTCAGAGACTGTTGTTTTTTGTCTCCGTATCCATTTTAGAGGTTAGAGTTACTAAGGTTGATTAATAAATGTTCATGTACCAGGCAGTTGTTCTAAAACTGTTCTTGTTTCCCATCAGTTTTGTTGCATTTGTAACTTCTGATATTCCACATTAGAAAATTGTGTAAGAAGTTACAGAAATAAGTAACTTCTTATTTCCACACTTATGAAAATAAGAACTCTAAACTGGAAAAACACTATCCCATCAACAGTGTGGCTGGGATAGGTCCTTGTAGCTCAGTGGCCTCATTAGTTACCACAGGTGGAAGGCTAGTTTAGAGTCCGTTCCAGGACGGTGTTTAAATATAAGTGGAGAAGAGAGATGTGAGAGCTAGGATTTGGAAAATTTTCTACCAAATCCAGACACTTCAACTTCTGAATTAAAACCAGTATCACCTTGGAAAAAGTGTTTTCCAGGAAAAGAGTTAACAATAAGTGCCAGATGAGCACACAATATATGTATTTAAATCCTCGGTCATCGAGGAGCAAAAACTTCTGCAAACCCTTACGTGTGCACCTTCCTTCAGGTCACTGAGAGATTTCCCTGCCAAGGCTCAGAAGCTAATCAGACCTTGCCTGCCAGTAGTCACCGGGTGCACGGGTCCAGAGCAGGACAAGAATGAGAGAGTTCAGAGGAGGAATTACCACCTTCTTAGCAGAGGCCCTTGGGGATATGTCGGAGATATTAGCTCAAAACCAGTCTCAGTTTTTATTCTTTCTTTACCTTCCTAGCGAGGTGAAGGCTTGCCTACTATCTGATAAACAACACCAGAGGGTAGTGATGCTAGTTATATGATGTCTCTGAGTGTTAATGGAAATTCCAGAAAAAAAGAGCATGCTTCCTATAAAAGCATTTTCTGCCTCAAATGGGTGAGCCCTCCCCACCTGTGCCAGTTTAAACGTGAAGAAATGAGCTCTCCCTTCCCAGCCTAATTTGCGGAAACTCAAATGAACAATGGAACTCAGACACAACCAGATCCGGGATGTTCGTGTTTACTAGCATGACGGTGATGGTATCCAGAACACTTAGCCATTTAACTGGGGCCCTTTTGTTTAGCCTTCTCGCCTGCTTTTTCTTTAGGGACTAATTATGCATTAGATATTCTCATGAACCTGCTGTACTCACATAACATTTTAGTATTCATATTTAATGTAATGTCCTTTAGTGTATTTTTACATATAGTCTTTGGGGCGAAGATAACTAATTATTTTCCTCTTAAACCTAGAGGAATTATTGTGAAAATCTAAATATGATTATTTTGCGAGTGAGAATGAAAAAGAACTATAGTTTGTACAGTTTCCAGAGTGTTCTTTTCTTTCTCCTTACGGTCATGCCCCTCCCCTTACCCGGTCCAGGGGACAGGGAGTGAGGGTGTCACAACCCAGAAACAATAAAAATGTTAAGTGCCGACTCTTCATCTGAAGTCTTTAGTCATAGCACATTCTACCTGTTTACCTGTTCTGCAGGCACTAACATCTCCTTTCCAAGTCAGGAGATTTTAGCTGTTCCTTTAGTCATCATTTATTCAGCAAACCTTTATTGAAAGCCAACTACCTATGAGGCATTCTTAAAGGCAATAGGCATTGCCTTTAATCAGATGGGTAAGAGTGGAGTTTACGTTCTAGTGGCAGGGCTGGGGCGGGTTAAACCAGTGCACAGATCAATAGTACCGAATGCTATGAAGAAAATGTACCAGGGTGATGACTCAGGTTGTTTTAGATTGGTGGATAAGGAAAGTCTTTTCCAATCTGCAACTTGAAAAATAAGGAACTAAGCACGTAAAGATCTGGGGAAAGAGCTTTCTGAGCAGAGGGAACAGCTAATGGAAAATCCCAGAGGTGTGAACAAGCCTGGCATGTTCAGTGTTCAAGCGGGCTGTTGTAGCTGGAGCAGAGGGGAGGGAGGGGAGAGGCAGGATGTGAACTCAGCAAGGTGGCCAAGACGGACCATTCAGAACCTTGCATCATATTGTCAGCTTGTGAAAGATGTTTGTAACTGTGGCCTCTGAGAATAGATTATTCTCTTGGTATGGAATATTCAGAGACTGTTGTTTTTTGTCTCCGTATCCATTTTAGAGGTTAGAGTTACTAAGGTTGATTAATAAATGTTCACGTACCAGGCAGTTGTTCTAAAACTGTTCTTGTTTTAGAACACACTAAAGACTCAGGGCTTCATTCGGAGAGACATGAAGCCTTCAGAGGGCTCCTTCAAAGGAGCACTGTGATCTGGTGGCCTTTTGAGAAGATAACCCATCCTGGCTGCTGGTGGAGTGTGCATTTTAGGGGTAGGAGGACAGGAGTGGAAGCTTGGAGGAGGGGGGTTGTTTAGAAGATATATTAGTTACTTGTTGTGTTGCTGCATAAAAAATTACCCCAACCCCTAGCGACCAAAAGGACAATCTGTATCTATTATGTCGCACAACATCTGTGGGTCAGGAATTCAGGAGTGGCTTAGCTGGGTGGCTTTGGGTCAGAATTTCATGAGGTCACGATCTGGCCTGTAGTCATCTAAAGGCTTGGCTGGGCCCACAGGACCCACTGACAAGGTGGCTCATTCATAGCTGTTGGCAGGAGTCTCGGTTTCTTAACCACGTGGACCTCTCCATAGGGCTGCCTGAGTGTCCTCATCACAAGGCAGCTGGCTTTTCCCAGAGTAAGTGGTCCCAGAGAGAGCAAGGTGGAAGCCACAATGTTGTTTAGTGACCTTGCCATAGGTGTAACACACTGTCATTTCCGAAGTTTCCCTTCGGTTACACAGGTCAGTCCTGTTATTGTGTCTGTGACTAGCAGGAGGTGAGAATTACTGGGTGCCACTCTGCAGGCTGGTTCCCACAGGTGGCTTTCCCTGCAGGTGTCCAGGTGGGAGATAAGGGTGCCAAGCAAAACTCTACCCTAAAAACATATGTGCATCTGGTAACTTGTCTGAAGAGAGACCATCCTCTGTCATTGGCTGCTATTTGCAAATAAGCCCACAGAACCAAAAAAAAATACTCCAGTTATAGCCACTGTTAGACTCTGAGGTGTTTAGCCACATTATGAAGTAACAATTTACTTGGCTTAATTTGACAGATCCTCTGTGATTATGATAAGTGACAGAATGCCACAAACTATGTGTTTCTCAATTATTTAAATAACATTCCAATCTCTTGAGCAGACAGGAAGAAAGATAAATATACTTCTAGTACATTCATATTTTAATGACACCTATTTTGCTTCTAAATTGCTTACTGGTTTAGTTACTTGAACAGGCTTCATTTATCTCTCACTGAGCCACACTCAATAAACTGTCATTCTTATAGTTACTTAATGGGATTATGCTCTGGAAACAACTAAATCAGCAAGGTACCACCGGCCCTGGAACATCTTCCATCCGCTTAGTTCTGGAAGCTCAAGGCAGGCTGGTGTCTGTCAGTAATCATGGTAGAATTACCTGTCAGAAGCAAGAACTAATTTAAAAGAGCGTAGGTGAAAATTGCTCTATTTAATTAGGGGAGTTATCTGTAGCTTTAAATTAGCTTCTCTGATGGTTATTTCTTAGCTTTCTTTTGCTTTAGATGAACGAAACTAACACCCAAATAATTGAGAAGCACGCTTTAGAAAAATGATGAGGTGTCCGCTGCAATTATTGGGACTGGTTGACCTGGGAAGACTTGTCACCTTAACATTGTGCAAAAATGGGTAGCTTTGGTGGCAGAGACTGAATGGAATGTTGTTATTCTGTTGATTGTCATATTTTAAAAGGAGTCACAGTTCTGACAAAATTGCATTTTTTTCCATCGCTGACTCAAAGATGGAGACATTTTTTTTCCTTTTTTTTTAAAGTATTTGTCATAATTTTGAAAGAATGGTTTTTACCATTTAAATTCAATGTCTAAAATTCTTTCCTACCCATTGATGACACAGTGAAGGACTGAGTGGTGTAGATCTTAAATTTAAAAGATGCACGAGCAGCAGTGAGCCCTTGGCACCAAACCAGACGCTGTTGTTTCTGGGGTCATTTTGAGTGAGATGTCCTGAGACTGTGATCGTTACACATAAATTCCCCCACAACCATGCAGTTCCCCTGCAGCCATAAAACTGATGTGTTTATTTGTGCTTCAGTGCCGGCGAGTGACGAAGAGGAAGGAGCAGTTCTTTTTGACAGCTCTGGCAAGGTGGCTGCCGATCCTTTTGACACGTCTTCTGGATCCGTGCAGCTGATTGCAATAAAACCCACGGCCCTCCCCGTGGTGCAGCCCACCTCGGACCGGAGCCAGGAGGCGGCCGTGCTCAACGGTGAGGTGAGCACCCGAGGACCCAGAGTGGGAGAGAGCCAGGGCAGCCAGGAGCACCACCCAGGAATACTGGGGGCAGGTTGCCTCCAGGTGTGTAGGGCTCCACTGGTCATGTTTACCTCTGCGTGCACAGGCCTCGGCGCAATGAATCAGGACACAAGTCACCCCAGATGGATTTGTGGGGTGATGTTTTCAGAGCATTATTACCTTCACTAGAAAGCCCAGTGGGGGCCTTTTTAAAAACTGGAGTTATGAAGAGAAACATCAGAAATTCTTTCCCACCGCTTACACACATGCAGTCTACCTTTTTTGGTAACACTCCTGAACCATCATGGGAGGTCATTTGTAGTGGGGATGCGAGGGGCTTAAAGTGAGTGGGAACTGGAGAAGATACTGTCTCTTGGACAGGGGCATGGCCCACTACAGAGGCTTTGAAATGACTTCTATTCCTTCGAGCAAGCTTCAGACAACCCTTTGCCTGCTTTCAGAAGGATATCTGTGGGTCTCATGGGGTAATCAATTTCCCTAAGGGTATGAAAATTGTACATGGAGAATGATGATTTCATGAAGAAAAACAGATGGATGAATAGGATAGATGGATGGATAATGGATGTGTGGGTGGGTAATGGTTGGGTGGATGGATGGATAGATAGATAGAGGCAGTTTAGGGGAGAGCAAGAGAGCAAGTTGGCTAAATATCTGACATTTTTCCATCTTCTGCAGCTGAGTGGTCAGTGGGCTAAAGATGTTTATGAGCCTTTAAGACATGCATATGCAACCTGCATGTGAACATTTACATTACATGTGTGCACACATAAACACTTAGGTAGACTGAAGCCAGAGGGGTTGAGCAGCCTGCTCAGAGTCCCACTGTAGGTCATTGTGACCTCCATGCTGGTCAGGTCCCCTGGCTCTCTGTCCACTGCTCCTTCCCTCTCCTTGACTTACTGTGGCCCAGCAATGAAAAACAGCATTGGACTTGAAAGATCTGGAACTTTCAAGCCACCCTGCAAAGATTGGAATTCTAGCTCCTCTCCTTACTAGCTGTTCGACCTTAGGCAGGTTAGTTCGTTTCTCTGGGCCTCAGCATCTCCACCTCAGTAAAACGGGGCTGTTGTAAGGATGACAACACTTATGATAGTGTAAAACACTTATGATAGTGCCTAGCAATCAACAAGCACATCCTCTTCCTCCTCCTTCTCCTCATCAATTAGTCAGCCAATGAGCAAGGACTCTTGGATCACGTACTGTATGCCCCCTGACTTTATAATTTGGGAACCTGTATGTGTTCTCAAAGCCAATCACACCCACTGAATCTTTCCTTAGACACAGCTCTGTCACCAGACATGCAAGCCCAGTGATTACAGTCTCTGAGATTGTCACTAATGCTGTGGGAACTGCCCTTGATTAGGGCCCTCTGCCCAGGTATGGAACCGGGTAATGGCCGCCATGCCTAGATCTTTCCATCCCAGCTTAGTGGTATCAGTATCACAGAGACAGATTCCACATCTCAGGTAAATTCAGTTTACTGCTCCCTTTTCCTGCCAAGCCCATCACCCTGTCACAGAAGGAGAGAGATGAGCATTTTCTCTGTCCAGAAGGGAACGCCTGTTACATGTTGGTAGTTAGAAGAACGGACCTTACTGGCATTATGGTGGGAAAAGAGGCCTGAATGGTTCTCCATAATTTGCGGCCTTGTGGATTTTAGGGCAAATTGTCTTATAACTCTCTCCCTTCTTCTCTTCTGGGTGCCTTGGTTAAGGGAAGAAAACACAGCCCCAAAGCCATACATTTTTCTGTTATGCATTACAGGATATCCTTGTGAAGATTATGTTAAAGAAAACAGCACAGAAAGTTGAGAAAATAAGAGAAAAATCACTATAATTTCACCACCCTAAGATCCATCCCCTGTTTTCACTTTTGCACCTTCTCTGCAAGCTTTTAATCAAACTCACTGATACTTTAGAGCCTCGTCATGTCATGACAGCTTTCTGTCTCTCACAGTGAGCACCTTCCGTGTCGCTGCTGTGTTGTTGATGGTGGCTGTTAATGACTGTGCTGAGCAGGTGTGCCATCGATTTGAAAACTCGATGTTCGAGCCTTCCAGGTGTTTTTTGGTTTTGGTTTTGGTTATTATAAATGACACTTCAATGAATAATTGCATGCATGACTTTTAAAAACTTTTTATTTTGTAATAGTTGTAGACTTACAAGAAAGGTTTAGTAATAGTACAGAGTTCCTATACACTCTTTTCCTACCCACCCTAATGTTGACATCTGTCGGAGCCACAGAATAATGACCACGCCCAGGGAATTAACACCTGGTACGACACTGTTGACCCATCCACAGGTCTCATTTGAGTTTCCCTGGTTTTCCCACTAATGTCCTTTTTCCATTTTGGGATCCAGTCAAGGATCCCACGTGGCCTTTAACTGTATCCTTCATCTCCTCCAGTCTGGGATAGCTCCTCCATCATTCTTTGTGACCATTCTTGTGTTTTATGACCTTTACTGTTTTGAGGAGTGCTGGCCGGTTGTCAGGTAGAATGTCTCACAGTTTGGGTTTGTCTCATGTTTTCTTATGATTGGACTGATTGGCATTTTTTTGTCGTAACTGCAGGAGTGATGTGCCCTTTTGTGGGCACCTTATCAGCAAGTTCCTGATACTGATGTGTCTGATAACTGGTGATGTTAGCTTTCATCTCTGATTTTGAACCTCTCTTGTGGAATGTTGCTTTAGCTGACGTTTTCTGGAATGTCAGCTAAAGCAACATTCCAGAAATGGGATTCCTGGCTCAGAGGATGCTACACTAACTTCCTCTCTTGACTGGTTTTCTCAGTGGCAAGCAGAATGAAGGAACCATTAAGACCTGTGAAATTCTGCCCACCTGAAAATATCATTAGGGCCCAGAATGGGGGGAGCTTTGCCAAAGTTAGAAAAAACATGTCCTTCAGTTATTGTTTCTTCAAATGTTGTAAAACTAAAATATCTAAGATAGAGGACCATGGTCCTGATGCTGTGATATATATCTTATCACTGGGTGTATTTTCATTTTATGAATTACAGGAAATTCTTTTAAAGATTTTTTTTCTTTTAATTTTATTTATTTATTTGCTTACTTACTTACCTACTTATTTATTTATAGAGATGGGAAGGGAGGGAGAAAGAGAGGAAGAGAAACCTCAATGTGTGGTTGCCTCTCATACACCCCCCAACTGGGGACCTGACCCAAAACCCAGGCATGTGATCTGACTGGGAATCGAACTGGTGACCCTTTGGTTTGCAGTCCAGCTCTCAATCCACTGAGCCACTCCAGCCAAGGCTTAAAGATTATTTTAAAGAAAGCATAGTAACAACTCTGTATACGATTATATCAATGTAGTCAAATCTGATTTCAAATAGCGCTAATGGTTCCCCATATCATCCAATAAGCATCAGGTAGATTTCACCATTCAGTTTCATTCATGGGTGTAACACCCTCATCATTTGTGATTTGTTTAGCATAGTCATCTGCTTGTATCCTGACAGGTCAGAGGGATGTTGGCCATGTTCCTTTCTAGAAGTCCAGACTGGCTTTGCCCTTCAGAGCAGGAACTGGTTGGCATCCGTGGCCGTAAAAGGCTTCATCATTCCCTATCTCTTGAGAAAAATACAGATTGACACAAATAAGCTCTTGATAGAGTGGCGAGACCTTGCGAACAGGATGTCTGCTCCTCCTCCCCACCCTATTCACCTCAGCTCAGCCCGTCCAGGAACTGGCTTATCCAGCTAGGCACCGACTCAATGGCCAAGGGAGAACATTGGGCTCCTCAGGGCTGAAGCCAGGCTCAGGACACTAAGATCTAGCAGGGCTGCCAAGTCAGGGGCTGTCATACAGGGGACCGGCAGGGTTTAGGGGGGATTAAGGCCCACACCACAAAGCTGCAAGCGTGGACTCTGGCCTAGGTCTGAACAGACTCGGGGAGTCAGAGAGAAGGAGGCCTCGATGGAAGGTCCCAGGTGACGAAGGTGAGTGCCAGACTCCGAGTTTGTGGACCGCTGTTGTGGGCTGGTCTTGGCGTGGGTCCCAGTTGGGTCTGGCTGGCTCCAAGGCCCAGACAGGAAGCCTAGGGTAAGTTTTCCCAGAGTTGTGACTTTCTGACGGAAGCCTCCCGCCTGTCGCTGTCAGGGACAGGCGCGGGCCTGAGACCGTCTCTCTCCCCAGGTGAACAAAGCGCTGAAGCAGAAGTCAGACATCGAGCACTATCGGAACAAGCTGCGCCTCAAAGCCAAGAGGAAGGGATATTACGATTTCCCTGCAGTAGAGACAAATAAGGCTCAGACGGAAAGAAAAAAGATGTATGAAAAATCCCAAAAGGAAATCGAGCACGTGTTGGATCCAGACCCAGAACTGTGTGCCCCGTTCGCTGAGTCTAAAAACAGGTGCGACAGCAAAGGAATTCTCAGAAGGTCGCCATGGCATTGGCGGGATGAGGGGCAGGGGGTGCCTTGGGCGATACAGTCCTGGTGCCTTTATGTGTTCCCAGAGGACTGTCATCTGTGAAGGCTGCTGAGCCAAACCATGCTGTTCTGTGCAAGCACGTGCTCCATAATGAGTCGGGAAGAGAATAAATCTGAAGCCATTAAAAAAATACTTGGGCAAACAACCATAACTGTCCCTTAGCTTAATGATATTTTCCAACTGTGGCTGTTTCAGAGCTGGGTGAAGATATAATTATCACCCACCTGGTTATGCAACTTCCAGATCAAAGGGCATGGTGTTTTTCAATTATTTCAGTGGCTCTTGCATAAGAAAAGCAAATGTCATACCTCACCTTGTCATTCAGCTGCAGTGCATATTCACCGCATAGCTGCTCAGAGCTCCATGCTGGGTTCAGCTCCTGAATCACAGATCTGTTCATCTATTTGATGTTTACTGTCACCTACTATGTATTAGCCACCATGCAAGATGCTGAATGCTGTCATGGTCATGTTGTTTTTCCTCATTCATTCATTTACTCATTCATTCAACATTTTATGGCAGACAAGACAGATGAATTACTATTCTTACAGAATTTAAGGCCTGAACTGGGAGAGAAAGATACCACCTCCAAAGTTTATTACTCACAAGTGTGATGGGTGTTTGAGACGTGAGGTGCTAATAACGGTGTGTAAGTGGAACTTGGCCTCCCGAGCAAAGGTTAGGCTTGGCGGTTTGAATTCACATCCTTCCGAGCTTTGTTGCCAGCCAAGCAGAGAGTGACCTCACCTCCTGGGTAAAGGAACAGAGGTTTTAGCAAAGCCATACATGCCCACTTTTCTTCTTTCCTCCCCACCCTGAAGCACTTCTTCAGAAGCATTTTCATGCTTTCAGACCATCTCTTTTAAATACCCATTCTCCTTGGCGACAGCCCCTTGGCTTGTAGCATGCCAGTGCTCCGACCCACCCCGTTCCCTTGGCAGACACACTCTCCACAGACTGGGTGGGGCAGGACAGCTCCCTGCCAGCGCGGGTATTTATTGAAAGCAAGAATGACCGTGCAGCAGGCTTGGGTAGAAGCCACAAAATCAAGCTGGGATGTGGGGCTAATGTTATGAATAGAATTGTCATAATTTATTTTCAACAAGGAAATAAGAGACTTCTAATCCTGTGCTTCATTTACCCCACTTTTAATTAGGCTATTGATGCAAAATCACACTGTGACAGGGTCCACAATGCATGTGTCACCGTGTTGATAACCGTAGAAAAAAGGGAAGAAAAGATATGGATTTTATGGGAGGCTGGGGGCTTCTTTAGCACTTACTTTGCACTTTGAGACTTTTTGCTGCAGCTGTCTTTTATAGTCTGGGTGGGGAGTCTTTTTCTCTGGGTTTCCTGCTGACACTCAGGAGATGAACCAAAGATCGTGTGCAAATAGAAGAACTTGGTTTGGAAGCTATTTGAGAAATAAATAAAAATTTCAGTTGAGACTTTAAAATATTTTTTAATTTTTCAGTTATGGTTGACATTCAGTATTATATCAGTTTCAAGAGTACAGCATAGTGATTACACGTTTATTTATACAACTTATAAAGTGCTCCTCCCAATAAGTGTAGTGCCCATCTGGCACCACGCAAAGTTATTACAGTAATATCGACTATGTTCCCTATGCTGTACTCTACATCCCCATGACTGTTGCGTAACTACCAATTTATGCCTCTTAATCCCTTCACCTTTTCCACCCAGTCCTCCAATCCCCACCCCTTGGGCAACTATCAGTCTCTTCCTTTTACCTCTGAGTCTGTTTCTGTTTTTATTGTTTATTTGTCTTGTTTTTTAGATTCCACATATAAATGAAAGCATATGGTGTTTTTCTTTCTTTGTCTGACTTATTTGACTTAGCATAATACCCTCCAGGTTCATCCATGCTTTTGCAGACTGTAGGATTTTGTTCTTTTCATGACCGAGTAATATTCCATCATACACACATACCACACCTTCTTCATCTGTTCATCTTTGGATTGGAGCAGGTAATCCATTTACCTTTCATTCTCTGTACTTATGTACTTGCTGCTATTTCATTACTTATTTCTGATTGTTTTTGTACTTCTCCGTCCCTGTCTTATTCACTTGGTCTCTTCTTTTATATGGTGGTGGCTTTCTGTAGTGTTGTGTTTGGATTCCAGTCCAGTTGAGGATTTTTATAAAGAGAATGAACAAAACCTTTTTTGCAGTAGAGATGCCCCACCACTGCCTAGCATAGGTTCAGGCCAGATTCTCAAGGCCCTTTGATGACCTGCTGGTCTGCAAATGTAGCGTGGAGTCTCAGGAAGTGTCTGTTGAAGAAATGACATAATGACTCTAAAGCACCAAAAATAATGTTAAAATTTTTTCTTACTACAAATCAGGTGAGGTGAGAGTAGGAATAGAGATGAAATTAGCAAGCGATGGGAAGGGGAGGGAGAGATTAACAGAGAAAAAGAGAGTGACAGAGACTCAGCGAGCTCTGAGGTGCTACTCTTGTCACTCTCTGCCGTGGACTCCGGAGGCTCTTACTGTGTGCTGGCTGTTGTCCCCAGTTAGAGGCACCTGTTAATTGCCACTTGCAGCTCAGCTCTCCAGAACTTCTGCTCCCAGGGACCCAGCTTCCACAGGGCTCAGGGGAGGGAGTCGTTCTGCAGTCCAGAGGCAGTGTCAGTAACTAGAACCTTAGCCCGAGGCTCAAATAAATCGAATAAAAGGCAAAGTTTAGATTCCAAAGGCTGACTCATCTTGAAATCTTTTAAAAGAGGTTTCACAGGTTTTTCTTTCCTGTCAGAAGAGTGCCCCATTTTTATGCTATGTTACCCGGAGATACAAAGTATGTCATATACCAGAGGCAGATGCTATCAGAGGCCACCCCCCACCACAGGTCCCCTTGCTCCCACTGTGCCCGCATCTACAACTCTGACTTGAGGGCTTTTGGGGGGCAGCCCCTACCAGAAGTGTCAGGTAGTTAATGTGCCCTGGGCAGCCTCTGCCAATGACAGATGGGACAGAAGAACTCTGAATTATAAGCTACATTCTTGTAATGATCACGTTTTGTAACTTCTTTATTTCATGGCTTGACTTTTGGGGCCTTGCTGAGCCCGGGGAAACTGCCCTTCCCAGGGCTGTCTAGCCAATCCTCAGAGAGGTAAGGGGCTCACCTGCCGGTACACCTTTCATACACAGACCAAAAAGCCAGGGCCCAGCCCTCCCCTTTAACACAGGGCTGCCCCACTCTGGCCCCCACCCCCCTCCCCGGATCACCTTGGCCAGGTACCAGACAACCTGGGGCAGCCCCTCCACCCCAGAGTCTGCTGAAATTATTCCAACGCCCCAATCCTAAGCCTGCACATGCTGCCTTGTCTGTTCCTTCCCACAAAACCACAGTAAGGGCTCTTGTCCACATTTCCCCTCACCCCCTCTTCCTTGTGACAGCTGCTGTGACAGGTGCTTCTCCATGTGGCCCCCATGTGGCCCCATATGGCATGTCCCTTCTTTGGGGGATCTTTTCAATAGCAGTCATCTCCTGAGCTCTTGGTCTTGCCATCCCTGAATAAAACAAAACCTGTACTTTGAAACAACTTTGTCCCACACTTTCCCAATGAGTGTGAGGCCCAGTTGCCCAGAACACTGACCCGCTCTATGTCATAGCCCTTATTGGCCTCCTTCCCCTCCCCCTCTCATTTTCCCGCTTCCAGTTTGTGCATCCTGGAATCCTCTCCCAAATAAATCACTTGCACTTCAGTGGTTACAAAGCCTGCGTCTGGGAGAACCCAAACTAAGGCAATAACTTATCAGGACAGCTGCTCTGATGGAAGGAGGGCCTCCTCCACCTCCTCAGAGGGAGGACTAGATGGTCAAACCATAGTGGGATTAAAATTCCCCTAAAAATCCAAATAAAATGTATCATTATCTACCCAGCAATATTTTCAGAGGCAAAAAAAAAAAACTCCTCAAGTTTGCAAGTTTCTAAATGTATTAACTTTTAAAGAATATAGTAAAATGCCAACAAGAAATCAATACACCTCATGGAACTCCATTTGATTAAAATAAGTCATTTCTCTACCTGAGTGCCTAAGGATTTCTGAGTAGTGTCTTTCATGCCATGCACACACTGATGGTCGGTCAGTGGGGATCCGAGCTACACAGCAGCCTGTAAGCTGTGTGTCATAATGGACCGTTTGTCTTTAACAGAAAAGGAGACTAGAGCACACTCCAGTGTCTAATCTCTCACCCACATTTATGGCTCTTGAAAAGGCTTACACAATCTTACTATTATGTTTCTACCACTTCCAAAATAACCTCCTTAAATGTCAATGACTAATCCTAGTATTCCCCCCCAACCCCACCACTACTCTTATTAGTAGATCTTTTCTAAATGAGCTAATTGGCAACCTCAGGACAGCTGTGAAATCTGCTTTTTCCAAAAAACCGATTTGTAATTAGGTCGAGGAGGAGAATGCTTTGGGGTGTCTCTTACAGTGTGAATCACTCGGAACAGATTCTGTTTCACAAAGCTGTGCTCCGTTCCTAACGGAAGCCTCTCATCTGGGTAACTATTGGGCACGGTTTATTATTGTCAGGTTTAGGCTCTTATGTTAGTCAGGATTCTGTTGGTTGCAAATGATGGAAATCCAGCACAAAAGGATTAAAGTAAAAGGGAATTTATTTTTGAACTTAATTGAAAGGTCAAGGTTTCTGGCATGCCTAGATCCATGGGGGTTATCCAGTGTCTCCCATATTTATCTGCTCTCTCTTCATTCACTCTTTGCTGGCTCCCTTTCAGTCAGGCTCTTGCCTCATGGTGACAAACTGGCTGCCAGCACCTCTGGGCTTATATCCTATCTTCTTAGAAACCTCAATGCCAAGAGTACGCCTCTTTCCTGGTTGCTCTAACGAAAGCCCTGGGACTCAGTCTCATTGGACCAACTCATGGGCCCCACCCTCTGACCAATCAGTGTGGCCACAGGGATATGATGCTGTGATCATGCAGCCTGAGTCACATGCCAACCCCTGGAGGAAGGGAATGCCACAGAGAACATCATATGGGTACCAGGCAAGCAGAGAACACAGTACTCTCCAAATAGGTGTAAGCTCCTCATGGTGAGGGAGTAGGTCTGTTAGTGTCTTGTCTTATTCCCTAGGCTAATTGCAAGGGTAGTATTTTTGCCTTGGGAGTTCTGCTGTCTGTTCTAGACTAACAGGGTTTAAGTGTCATGTGTGACCAACTGGGAGTGTGGTCATGAAAAGGCATGTATGCCTGCCAGGTTTCTGGTTTCCCACAGAGCCACTGCGAATAAATAATGCAACCTTTTCACCTTCGGCCCATGAATGGATAGAATCTTAGAACCGAGACATAAAATAGGTGTTATTTTGGGGGTTCTCACAATGTAGATGCTCTGAAATGCAAGTTATTTACAAGGGAAACTCATCGTGGGGTAAGAAGGAAGAAGGTGATTTTAGCATACGTTTGTCACTCTGTGGGGTCGGTATTATTGTGTGTTGGGTTCAGGTGTGCAGCAGAGTGGCTAGGCAATCATATACTGTACAGAGTGGTCCCCTTGATGTCTCCAGTACCCATCAGGCACCGTACATAGTTATTATAACATTATTGACTGTAATCCCTGTCCTGTACTTTACATCCCCATGTCTGTTTTGTAACCACCAATCTGTACTTCTTATCTCCTTGTTTTCCTTAATAGCACTTATCACTCTGAAATTATCACTCTGAGATCATGTGGATTATCTGTTTCTCTCATTAGAATGTAAGCTCTGCCTTGCTCACTGTGGATCTTCACCATCTTCCACAGTGACTAGAACATAGTAGGCACTCAGTGAATATTGCATGGATGGATGGATGGATGGATGGATGGACAGGCCAATGGACAGATGATCCCCAAATTGCCCTTCAGTGCTCTTTAGCCCAGAAGGGAAACCACTGTGGTAGAGGTAGAAAAAAGATCTCTCAGCCTGCCAGTATTAAGCAACCCTTTAGCCTCAAGGTTTATTAATGCATCATGGAACCCTGCCTGTGGAATCAGAAAAATTAAACGAGCAGGAGCTGCTGAGTCAACAGTCCATGAAAGCAAGTTTGTCCTTCTAGTGTTACCCACATTAAAGGGTCAAGGGAAAGCCCCTGACCTTGACATTAGCAGGATTTTAGATGAGCTTGCAGTGTTGGAATTGATTGTACTTACCATACGAAAGAGCATTTACAATACAGCCAAATGGTTACAGCATCTGGGAAAAAAAAAACTTTATTCTACTATTTCTATGGCCTCTGATGGCCAGGGAACAAATACCATCCATTCTGAGATCTGTGAGACTAATCCAACCAAACCCTCCATCGGTCGCCTGTATTTTGGATCAGTGGAGAATTCCATCTGTCAGGGCATTTGCTGCATCATAACAGTTGTTGAATTTTCTACAGGCAACAGACGAAGAACTCTGTCTACCGGAGCCGGCAGTCTCTGAATAGCCCAAGTCCAGGGGAAACCGAGATGGATCTTCTAGTGACTCGGGAGCGACCCCGGCGTGGAATTCGTAACAGTGGATATGACGTAAGTCTCTGGTGGCCCAAGGTAAATAGAAGCTTTTCTTTCCCTAAAAGCAAAAAGGATAGAGCATCCATATGTTTCAGTTTAGTATATATATGCATATTTGTGGAACTCAAAAATGCAGTGGAACATTTTCTGTTTCATTATTCCTTATCACCTATTTTGCAAAGTAGGACTACTTGGAATTGCCAGAGTAAAAAATTATTGCTAAAAGGATCTTGATTTCTAAATTCAGTCATTTATGAATTGTACTTTATTGACCTTAAACTCAACAGTGGTTCTAAATGTCCTTAATTTTCTACCCTCTGTTCTTAGATACTTAGTATGAACCATGACCTTGGGTTAGAATTCATTTGAATACAGGCTTCTTGTCATTCATAGCAGTGAGTTACAGAGAAGTCAGATTTGTTCCTGATTTCTTAACTCCTCAGTCTGCCATGGGAACAATGAGATGCCAACAGAGTGATTTGGTGGTTTCCTATGATGAAGCATGTGCTGTGTGCAGGGATATCTCCACACTGCAAAAGTCCTGCTAATCCCATCAAGCTTCCCCAGGTGATGGGTCACAGTTCAGTGCCTCCTCTCAAGTTGTGTACGTCCTGTCCGGTCACTGCAGCCATGCACGCATCGCGCTCACGTGACTGACACCCGGCTGAGGTGTTCAGTAAGCTTCACCCTGCCCTACAGTTGCAAATGGTCTTGAATATACTCTTAAGTCTTACGAAAAATGTTTCTTTCCCATTCTCCTAAAATGTATGCTCTCATTAAAATTAGAAATTTTCTATATAAGAGCTATGATTCAAATATGTTTCTGAATAAAGTTTTGTTATCATTTGTGAGGTGGTAATTTAAAAATGACGCTTGATTTCTTAACTATACCCTGCTGATTTAAAGGCAGGAAGATTTTTTCCTCCTCAGGATTGGTCACTGTTTTCTAAAAACTTAATGGATTTTTTAATGGTCCAATTAAAAACAGAGAGATTCTACCTAATTTGAATTTCTAATTACCTTCCTTACATTTAAACTTGATGTTTGTGTTGGTGGTGATAGCTTCATCTTTTATTTCTTTTTCTGTTTTAATATGACAGTTTGATAATTTAGTTTTATAAAATTCTAGATGCTTTTGGCAAATCATATTTTTCCTCCAGGTGAAATTATTCAACATTAACTTTTTTCTCCTCATAAAAGTATTTTTTATACCAAACTCAGTCATCAGTTTAATAGTCAGCCTGTGGTTAAATATTGGGCATTTGACTTATTCAATTAATCTCTTCTACCAACAATAAATATTCTTCCTGGATGCTTGTAGTTTGAGGAGCTCTTTCTTCTGCTGCAGCATATCTGATGTTTCTTGTGAGATTCTGGGTACAGAAATTTTTACTATGTGAAGAAATAGGCCGGAGATTCCCCTATTAGTCTTGAAAAGAGAACATTGCAGATTTTTTTAGCCACTGTGCCATGAGTTAGGGTGCTCACTTAATACTTCTGGAGCATCATGGTAGTACATTACCTGGCAGGAGAGATGATTTTTAAAAGGAGGTTGCTCACCCCTCACAATCATGTATAAATATTCCAATCGCAGATTACTTTAGGGAGGCACTAGTAGATGTCTTTTTTTAATTATTTTTTATTGATTATGCTATTACAGTTGTCCTGATTTTTCCCCCTTAGCCCCCTTCCATCCAGTACCCTCACTCCTTCAGGCAGTCCCCCCACCATTGTTCATGTCCATGGGGCAGTGGGTAAGTTCTTTGGCTACACCACTGCCTATACTGTACTTTACATCTCAATGGCTATTCTGAAACTACCTGTTTGTACTTCTTAATCCCCTCACCTCTTCACCCATTCTCCCCACCCTCTCCCATCTGGCAACCATCAAAATGTTCTCTGTATCCGTGATTCTGTCTCTGTTCTTCTTGTTTGCTTAGTTTGTTTTTTAGATTCAATTGTTGCTAGATATGTATTTTCACCATTTTATTGTTCACAGTTTTGATCTTGTTCTTTTTGTTAACTGAGACCCTTTAACATTTCATATAAAAATGGCTTAGTGATGATGAACCCCTTTAGCTTTTTCTTGTCTGGGAAGCTCTTTATCTGCCCTTGGATTCTAAATGACAGTTTTGTGGGTAGAGCAATCTTGGCTGTATGTCCCTGCTTTTCATGACTTTGAATATTTCTTGCCAATCCCTTCTAGCCTGCAATATTTCCTTTGAGAAATCAGCTGATGGTCTTATGGGAACTCCCCTGTAGGTAACTAACTTATTTTCTCTTGCTGCTTTTAAGATCCTCTCTTTATCTTTAACCTTTGGCATTTTAATGATGATGTGCCTTGGAGTGGGGCTCTTTGCATCCATCCTGTTTGGGAATCTCTGTGCTTCCTGGACTTGCATGTCTATTTCCTTTCCCAAAGTAGGGAAGTTTTCTTTCATTATTTTTTTCAAATAGATTTCCAATTTCTTGCTCTTTCTTTTCTCCTTCTGGCACACCCAGGATGTGAGTGCTGGACTTCTTAAAGTTGTCCTAGAGGCTGCTTATACCATCCTTGGTTTTTTTGTTGGTTTTTTTTTCACTTCTTTTTTTCTTCTTGTTGTTCTGTTTGATTGTTTTTTTTTTCTTATGTTCTTAATCATTGATTTGATTCTCAGCTTTATCCACTCTGCTGTTGTTACCCTGTAAATTGTTCTTTATTTCAATTAGTGTATCCATTGCTTCTGACTGGATCTGTTTAATGCTGCTGAGATCCTAAGTTCCTTGAGCATCCTTATAACCAGTGTTTTGAACTCTGCATCTGATAGATTGCTTATCTCCATTTTATTTAGCTCTTTTTCTGGAGTTTTGATCTGTTCTGTCATTTGGGCCATGTTTCTTTGTCTAGTCATCTTGGCAGCCTCCCTGTGTTTGTTTCTATGTATTAGGTAGAGCTGCTTTGAGTCCATGTCTTGGTAGTGTGTCCTAATGTAGTAGGTGTCCTATAGGGCCCAGTGGCACAACCTCCCCTATCACCCAAGCTGGGTACTCCAGGCACGCCCTTCATGTGGGCCGAATACACCCTTCTCTTGTAGTTGAGCCTTACTTGCTATTGGCAGGTCAATGGGAGGGATTTACTAGGATAGTCAACTGCAAGGATTGGCTGTGACTCCTGACCACCAACCTCTGCCCTCCATGGAGGATCAGCTGTGCAGGGGCAGGATGGTAGTGCTCCAATGTGGTCTGTAGCTTTCCACTGGGTATTATGGCTCTGGAATTTCCCAGGTGGTGCAGGCCAAGGTTAGCCCCCACCTGTATTTTACCCAGGGCCATCCTGCCTGGGCTGTAAAGAAATCAAAGATGGCTGCTACTCCCATCCTGGGCTTACAGATTCCCAGACAAAGCCAAGCTATGAATCTAGGCTGGCTGCTGCTGGTGCTGGGCCTGGGACTCACTGAGGCCAGCTACTGCTTATTTGAGAGGATTTAGGAAGCTGTGCAACCTGAGCCAAGACCAGCCATTCATATGGAAAAGCAGCTTGGGTGGGCCTGTAAGTTGGATGGCTCAGAGTCCCTGGGGATCTCCAAGGAGGGTCAAACAGTGTTAGCCAGTTTGATGGAGTCTCAGATATGGCACCAGCTTGCCAGCTCTATGGCTTTGTGCGGGGGAAGGTTTAGAAAAGGGACAACAGCCTCTGGTCACCCTGATGCTGGAATTCTGAGAGAGTAAGTCTGAGTAGGTGAGTCTGTGTGTGGGTTCTTTAAGAGATACTGCTTGGGGCTCCAGAATTTTCTTCCACCGACTAAATCCCCATTGTTTTTTGCAGCCAGAAGGGGGCCTGGTGTTGGACTGGGGCTCCTCACTCCCAAGATATCCCTCTCAAATTTTTATCCACCACATGTGGGTGAGGGACCAGCCCATTTTGCATCTGCTCCCCTCCTACCAGTCCAGATAGATATGGTTTCTTTAATTCCATTCAACTCAATTTCTGACAGTTCTGAGTGATGGTGGTTCTATATTTTAGTTGCAATTTTGATGTGGTTGTGCAAAGAGGTGAGCCATGTCTGCCTCTGCCGCCATCTTAACTGGAAGTCTAGTTTGTTGGGTTTTTTTAAATGCATATTTCTTTGAGGCTTGCATGTGATCTCAGACATAAGTAAATATGTTTCCTTAAGAGAAAATTATCATCTAGGGAACAGTTTTAAGAATTTAGACTGTTGACTATCAGAATGAAACTGCTTCTATATCTCCTCCTGTGTTTATTTTAATCATTTGAAAAGTAGCTGTTATTTACTGACTGCACCCTGTAGACCAGGCCTATTCTAGTCTTTCCATGTGTGCTGTCTAATTGAATTTGCAAAGCCACCAGTCAGCTAGGGACTCTCAGGCTCTTTGTCCAGATGGGAAAACCAAGGCACAGAGCAGTTACACAATTTGTCTGCCCTCCTCCAGAGCCCATTCACTTAATCATCATGCAATATGACTTCCATCTACACCCACCAGACTAAATATCTTCCCTCACATAACATGACATGTCTTCTCTATTTCTGAATCTCTTAAAGAGGCTCGATGGCAGGTCTTACAAGAGGTCTTGCATGGATAACTCACACAATCAAAAACTAAACTAAGCCAGCAGATAAAGTATAAAAAGAGGAGTGTCATAGTTTTAAACAATGCATTCATTTTTCTGGGCTCTTGATTTTCCAAAAATGTCATGGCTCTCCTGGCAAAGAACCCATTAGCCCAGCAGTGGACAGGTCATTAGTTGGAAACATGTCAATCTCCCTACTGGGTCTGGGGATCTTGAAGCCAGGCCAAAATTTCCAGTCATTTCTGCCAAATTAGGAAACACCAGGGGGACTTGCTCCCTGACATGGTAGAAACAAAAGCACTGGGAGATGGATTTAATTGTGAATTTTTCCAAAGGTGACTCCTTTAGAGTCCTAACAGAAAAGCCTGCATGTAAAAATAAGTGAATAAATAAATGATCAAGCAAACACATGCTCCACAGGCAAATCTTAGCCCCCAGGCTGATG